TGTCCAGACCTGCAGGTTGGGCCTGAGTGAAAATCTAGCATCCAGCTTACAGGCCTTCTGCCAGCCAAGAGAAGAGTAATTTGAAAGGAAAACCTCAATTTGAAAGCATAAGATTAAAATAAATATTAGTTAGGCTCTCAGGCTTTATGCAGTCAATTTCAAATGAAGATTAAATAGGCTTGATTTGATTTTGGAGAAACCAAACCTCACTCCCACAGTGAGAGAGAATAAGGGTTTTGCAGGTCAGCCGCCTTTCGTCCAAGATGCAGGGCTGTGGGAAGAAAGCTTATCAAGGCCCAGGGCCTGAGATAATGGGGGCAGTCGGCCGGGGGGCTCCCTGTCCCAGCTGCTTGCCAGGCCCTGCGGGTCCAGGTCACTGGGGGCGGCTGCCTTTCCCTGGCATGTCAGAGTTTGATAAGGGCCGCGGGCAGCAGGCCAGGCCTGTGGGGGGCATGGCTCTGCCCACACAGGCATCATCCTGCACGTCCAAGGAGACAGCGGATCCCAGGCCTGGAAGGCAACCTCCCTCTGGGGAGTCGGGGGTCGGCTTCCCATGGGAACTGTGCGCCTGAAAGGTGAGCTGCTTGCTCAGGCTCGTTAGGGGCTGGGAGATCACTGTTACAGGCGTTCTTGCGAAGCCCAGAGTGTTCGTAACCTAATCCATTCGTGTCCCTGAGCGCGTCTCCATCTGGCCTGTGCCTCACTGCCTCACCGGGCATGGGTGGGGCCTGTGTCTCCTGGCTTCCCGTCTGCATTATTCATTCCCCAGCTCCGCGGGGTGATCAGTTACAGCCGCGCTCTGCGGCCTGCCCCATGCCAGCTCCTGGGCTCCGGACCAGGCTCCCACACACGGTCCCTTGGTGACGAGGGTCCCGCCGGCACGGGGCTGATGACCCCTGCATCTGGACCCCACCAGGCCTGCGGCTGTCAAAGGGGCTCCCCGGCTGAGTCGTGGGGGTCTTCTGATGCCTCTCTTTTCAGGGCTGGCCCTGGTTTCAGAGCCTGCTGACACCTCTCAGACAGATGGAGGTGACGGGTCCTCCTGGGCCAGGGCTGGGAGGACCCTGCGGAGATGGGTGCGTCCAGCAGGGGCGCCCACGGGGCGGGAGCGGCGTCGAGAGGGTGGGGCTGCCCTCACTCGGGCTCTGTGCACATGGTGTTACTGGGTGCCTGTCGTGAGCCGGACGCGGCTCTAAGCAGGGCCTCAGTGAACCTGGTTTCCTAACAGGACTGAGTGGGCGCCGGGCTCATCTGCCCACCACCCCCACCGGCAGTGTCGAGGGCTCATCCTCCCTTCTCGGGCAGCTGGCCGGCCACGCACTTTTAAGTCTCCTTGATCGTAATTTAAGTAATTTAAGTAACGAAGTTCAAGACGCTTATTCCTCTGTCCTGTTCCGGCTGGAGCCCATGAAGTCTACCCTCCGAGGAGGGAGGCCTGGGCTGGGGTGGACAGGCAGGAGCCCCTGGGCTCTTCCTGTCTTTGGTTTCTCCAAAGCCGAAGCCCAGGTAACAGAGGCAATGGCCAGAAGGTGAGGGGAGCTTGGCCAGCACCTGGGCCACCCTGGGCCTGGCAGCCCTGGGTGGCCCCCGCTGTGGCCTGGACGCCCACCCTCTTTCCAGGCGGGAAGGCGGCAGCGACACCAGCACCCGAGCTCGGTGGTGAGAGCCGGCAGTGAGGACTGAGAGCCTCTGTGACGGAACAGCGCCTAGACAGGAGCAGGGGCCAGCCAGACGGGCATGGACCTCCGCCGTGGGGGTCGTGAGGACAGGACAGGCCCTGGGAAGATCTGCTCCTTTTCCTGCTGTCTGGGGCTGAGCAGGCCCCCCATCAGCTCCTCCATGCTGGACGGGTCTCCAGGGGCAAAGGGGGTCTCCTCGTGCTGGAAAGAGTCCCCCCACTGCCACTCAGGCATGAGGGAGACCCAGGAAGACCTCACTATCTGGAATCCTCGGACTTGATGGTGATTTCTCATCCTCCCAACAGCCCTGCTCCCAGGGCCCCTGGAAAGCTGCCCTCCAACAGGCTGGACGCAACCTGGCCCCCCTAACCTTGCACCCCCTCCTCCATCAGCATCCTCTTGCCCTGAAAGCCTGGTTCCCAGTCCTGCTGCTCACGGAGCACTCGGGCCCCTCAGACTTCTTCTTCCTCCAGGGGCTCTGGTTTGAGTTCCGGGCGCTGGGATTATTAATGGCCCCTAGGGGGTTCCGGTGCGAGACGAGGTCGCCACTCTGGTCATCAGGAGGCCTCGGTCTCCCCTGGGGCCGGGCCACACCCCTGGGGATTCCCATTTCTCCTCCAGTGACAGTTCTACGAGTGCTATCGTCATCATCTGCTCTATAACACAACAGCATGTTTTATTTCTCCTACTTCTCACCTTTAAAGCTCTTAAAGGGCAGGTCTGTATAACTTATCTTCATGGTTTTCTTAGTATCTTGAACATAGAGGAAATTCAATAAACATTTGTTGAGTGCATGAACAAACGATTAAATGTCTGTAGTCAGGTAAATACATGCTTTCCTATTTGGAGGACGTAATTATACCTTGAAATGGGACTGACCTGGTTCATATCTTGTTTCTGCCACCGACCAGCTACTTGACTTCAGAAAAGTTATTCAAACTCTTGGTGCCTCGGTTTCCTCGTTTGTGAAATGGGTAGAATATTATACCAATTAACGAAGGGAGATGTGAGCAGGGTGAATTGTCTGATATGTGTTCAACTAGCATCATCCTCATCTCTGACCTCCACCTGCCCATCCCACCTGAAAGGTGAATCCAGGTTGGCTCAGGGCCTCTGGGTGAGACCCTCTGAGGGGATGTGGGCTGTTTCTGGAGGGAGTGGGGACCTGAGTTCAGGTGAGGGTAGTGAAGGTAGGGAAACTTCGAGTCTTCAAACATTTCACACACAGCAGGAAGGAACCTGGTGCTAGGGATCATGACTGTTTTAATCAATTGTCTTCTTAATGTCAGTAATAATTGGTCCAGACTCTCTGACTGTCCTCAGACCAGTAGAAGATAGATTTCCTCATCTTCTCATAATTGCCTTTGCAAGAGCTAAATTAAATTATGTTTCAAAAATACCCCAATCCCAGACTATGGCTCCCTGCAGAGTTGGGCTGGACACAGGCGTCCTCAGGCCGAGGCAGGGACACCAGGGTCGGTCAGCGTCACCAGCCTCAGAGCCAGTGTGCCTGCAGCCATGCTGTTTGGGCCCTTGAGGGGGAGTCTGGGGTGGATTCTAATGATGCCCACCCCAGGTGCGCATGCAGAGTCTGCTCTGGTCACGTCCATCTGCCTCCTGGACCTCGGTTTCCTCACCTGGGTGGGGGGGGTGGGGGACCCCCGATGGGGTGCCTCGGGGGGACCCAGACACCTGCCGTGCTCCAGAGGATCCCCTGCTCGGGGGGCCCAGAGACAATTTCCAAAGACCTGCCCAGCTGCAGTGGCATCTAAAGCCTCCTGCAGGAAATGTAGTTACTGGAGAAGGTATCATTTCTGGCAACACGAGCACATTCTTTAAGAATGGTTTCAGCAGATCTTAGGAACAACAGACACAGAATGAGGTCCGTGTGGCTGTCCCACCACCTGCACCCCCGTCCTGCTCTGCACCACGGTCACCATCCCTGGACCTGAACCTCCTTGCAGGCCTCCTGGGCCCACCCTGCTGCTCTGCAAGTGCCCTCCCAGTGACCCTTCTGACGCGGGCTCACCTGGGCACTCCCGTAAGGCCTCCTGCTGTCCCTGTGTGCCCGGCCACCCTCCTGGTCTGCCCAGGGCGTCTTTCCCAGGTGGCTGCCTGGCCCCATGTCACGCCCTCGGGGTGGCAGGCCGTCACTCTGGTGGGGACGGGAGCCTCCTCCTTGGCCTCACACTGTCCCCCCTCTGGTAGCAGGCATGGCCACTCAGGCCCACATGGCCCTTGGGTACCGTATTCCTTCTCCGCCGAGGGCCCACTGTTCCAGGACCTCTGTCCCCTTGTCCGTCGGCCCTTCCCGGGTGAAGGGGACAGTATCTAGGGTGCAGCACATGCAGGGCACGTGTGGACGAACAGTGCTGCTTTTCACACTCACAGACCGTGCACAGGTGGTGTTCCACTTGCCTCAGCACCACACACTCACGTTTTCGCTCCGCGCTGCGTTCGGACTTTCCCTGCTGGTGTGTGCAGCCCCACCACACAGCGACCCCGGGCCTCGTCGCTGTTACACACAGGGCCCTGGTGTGCAGACCCCCGCGCCAGGGCTTTCTCTCACAATGGAGCCCCTCAGAACTACTGGGGTTCCTCACAGCAACTTCATTGACAGATATTCTGAATCGATGGGTCTGGGATGAGCTCAGGGCAGCAGTGAATGTTTTTAAAAATATCTTTAGCTGATTCTCTGGGTTTAGAACCACAGGTCTTGGGCGTGTCCTTAAGCTTCTAAAGAATCCACTTGCCCACGCAAGAAACTCAGGGAGGAGACGCGGGTTCGATCCCTGGGTCAGGAAGACCCCTGGAGGAGGAAATGGCAGCCCACTCCAGTTTTCTTGCCTAGAGACTCCCATGGACAGAGGAGCCTGGCAGGCTGCAGTCCGAGGGGTCTCAGAAGGTTGGGCGTGACTTAGCGACCGAGCGCAGCGCAGCAGAGCAGAAAGGAGCCACCTTCCTTCCCAAACGGCGGTGTCAGTGCGGCCACACCAGGGGAGCCCCTCTCCGCAGATTCTCAGCGTCACCTGCCGCTCCACCGCTGAGGGTCTGCCCGCGACAAGGCCTGGGGTGGGTGCGCTGGCGGAGCGGGGCCGGGGGCGGGGGCGGGGCGGGGCCAGGGGCGGGGCCGTGTGGGGGCGAGGGGCGGGGCGTGGCCGGGGGCGTGGCCGGGGGCGTGGCCGGGGGCGGGGCGGGGGGCGGGTGGGATTCAGCGGCCAGACCGAGCAGACCTAAGGGTCCGCGCTCCCAGCCGGTGGCTGGTCCTCGCGGCCCCGCGGCCCACGGTCGCTGTCGCAGCAGCGGGAGAGCAGCCCCGGGATGCAGCCGCTCCCGCCGCCGGTGCCTGGGCCCCTGGCCCTCCTGGACACGACAGGTGAGCGCGCAGGTGAGCCGGGCTCCGTTTCTCCGGTGCCGAGCTCCCACGGGCCCCCTCCCACCTCTCTTCTGAGAGTCCCGACAGCGCGAGCCTCTGCCGTCTCTTCTCCACCGTCTTCTACTGCAGACAGTAGACCACGACCCGCACAAACGGGACAACGCACTCTGTTTCATCCTTCCACCCAACTTCAGTCTACAAATTTTCTAGGAAAAGGTCATTTCCTGGGGCCAGGTAACTTCTTTCTCCTTGGGCTTCCCTGGGGCGGCTGGGCTCCCCGCGCCCTCCCCAGACGATTCCGTAATTTCCAGGATTTCCCTCCCAGCCTGATGCAGCCAAGCCGGGCTGGGACACAGGAGGTCGGTGCCTTTATTCTCTGCCGGCAGGCCGCCAGGAGGGGGCTGTTTTCCCGACGACGGGGAGGCGGGAGACTTCCAAAGAAGAGGCTCTGGGATGGGGGTGGAGACACCTGGGTCCTGCAGGGCTTCATGGACCATCTAGTAGGAAATGCGGGATTAAACTCCCAGCCCTGCAAAGTCTTTTTAAAAACCAGATTTTTTTTTCATTTATTTTTATTAGTTGGAGGCTAATTACTTTACATCATTGCAGTGGTTTTTGTCATACATTGAGATGAATAAGCCATGGATTTACATATATTCCCCATCCCGGTCCCCCCTCCCACCTGCCTCTCCACCCGATCCCTCTGGGCTTCCCACTGTACCAGGCCCGAGCACTTGTCTCATGCACCCAACCTGGGCTGGTGATCTGTTTCACCCTAGATAATATACGTGTTTCGATGCTGTTCTCTTGAAACATCCCACCCTCGCCTTCTCCCAGAGTCCACAAGTCTGTTCTATACATCGGAGTCTCTTTTTCTGTAAAAACCAGATTTTTAAAAACTTATTTTAAACTTATCATTTAAAAACTTGATTTTTAAATGATAACCGAGGAATCAGGAGGAATGAGGAGCAGGAGCAGTGAGCAGTGAGCCGGGCTCTGTTCCTCTGGTGCCGAGCTCTTTCTTTCCAAAAGAAAACAGTTCTGTGACCAACACTCTAAAACCAAATGCAGTTACTGATTATAACAGATAGTTGTTATTATAGTTATTAACTACCTATGGTTATTGCCATTATTATATTAGAATGACTTGATTTAAAAATAACATTTTAGATTTTTCTTCTGAGGAGGAACTTTAAATTTAAAAAGTGCTAAGAGTTGGTGTTTTACTTAAAAATACTAACTTTAGTGTGGCTGGGATGGGATTATGGGCATCTTCTACCTTACGTTTCTGCGTTTACACCCTTGGGGATGTGTTCTGTGTAAAAGTGGAATAAAAGGGAAATTGTTGGCTGAGGGCATGTCCCTGCGTCCATTTCCCTGGAACAGTTGCTTTGTCCCCATGGCTGCTGTTGAGATTAAACAAGCTCCTTCTTTCTGGGTGGCCCAGGCCCTGCCTGCCGGGAGGGGGTGACTAGGTGACTGCCCCCCACTTTGTGATGCACCCTTCCAGCTCCACTCAGTGAAGAAGGTGCAGAGGGCGGGACAGTGACTGGGTCTCCTCCGTCCTTGCGCCTGGTCACTGAGGCTGGGAGGGGAGGCTGGGAGGGGAGGCTGGGAGGGAGGCTGGGAGGGGAGGCTGGGAGGGAGGCTGGGAGGGGAGGCTGGGAGGGGAGGCTGGGAGGGAGGCTGGGGGGGAGGCTGGGAGGGGAGGCTGGGAGGGGAGGCTGGGAGGGAGGCTGGGAGGGGAGGCTGGGAGGGAGGCTGGGGGGGAGGCTGGGAGGGGAGGCTGGGAGGGGAGGCTGGGAGGGAGGCTGGGAGGGGAGGCTGGGAGGGAGGCTGGGAGGGGAGGCTGGGAGGGGAGGCTGGGAGGGAGGCTGGGGGGGAGGCTGGGAGGGGAGGCTGGGAGGGGAGGCTGGGAGGGGAGGCTGGGAGGGAGGCTGGGGGGGAGGCTGGGAGGGGAGGCTGGGAGAGGAGCAGCCCTGGGCTGAGCCATCTTAATGTTAGCACCAACCACAACCCGCTAGTATCGCACACGTAAAAACACATCTGGAACCTTCATTTATACTCTCTCACTGCACCCTATAGCACGGAAGTGGCGGGCTGCAGCGAGTTGTCATTATCCCCACGTTGCAGATCAGGGAACTAGGGCTCAGTCGTGCATTCAGCATGAGGGGATACAGGTGTGGGAACCCCATGTCAAGCAAGAGCCCCATGGCCCCTGCTCTCAGGGTCAGAGGGCTGGGAGCACCTGGAATCACTCAGCATGTCTGGCAGCCCCACAACATTTCAGGTACAGTTCATGTAAATTGCCAGCACAGCTGTAAGCATAATAGTTGAGATTTTAGCTGACAGGCAGGGCACAACCTTACGCTGCTTCAGTTATAACAATGCACATGTGAGACTCCTGCTGGCAGGACAGCAAGGTCGAAGGAACAAGTCAGGGAGTCTGGATTTTTTCTCCAGCACAGACCCCCCTCCTCTCCAAAACCTGACCTAAAAGTGCATGTGTGTGATGGTGGTCAGGAACATGGCCCACCTTCCTTTCTTGAACTTCTTCTTATTGCCTAACGTTTACGTGAAGCCCCACGTCTATGACGCCGAGTGCAGGCTGGGATCCAGCCTTGTCTCTCTTGTGCCTGGAGTCCAGATATTGCAGCCTGTGTCATTGAATCGGGGCCGCTCAGAACCATCCCTTTCCCGGCTGCTGTCTTCCCAGACTACGTGTTCCCTTGGAAGCCACGACACAATCCTGACAAAAGGGCTGCTCGGGCCCTGAGCTGCTTATCATGTAGTGGTTTCACAGGGAAAGTCGCACTTGGGGAAATGTGGGGAAGCGGTGCAGTTAGATTGAAGATGGTTCCTAGGAACGAGACGCTTTTGACGAAGTCTGTCAGGATGTCACTAACAGACTTGACAAGGCCCCAGAAAAACTGTTTACCACTCATCATGCAGCTTCCTAAAGGGGCTGATCAAAGTGGAGCTGAGAGCCTTTGGAACCAGAGTGTCGTCACAGGGAGGTGAGGGGGTCAGCCAGACGGGCCCACAGAGCTAAGAGACCAGGTACAACAGTCAGACAGGTGGTGTGAATCGAGCACTGAGATGTTGGTTAAGTACTCTGAACATAGTGAACATATAACGCATTAGATGCATTAGAAGCGTAAAGAGAGCAAAGCCCTCTGAGGAGGATGGCATTTGATAATTCCGTTCAAACACTTAGTCCCATGGAGTCTCGTTTCAGGCATCTTCCTGCTCTTAACACACACTTTACAGCCAAGACTGGTCTGGGCCCTTGGGAAGAGCAGTCGAGGCGAGCACTGCCCAGGGCACAGCAGGTCTGTGGGCTCCCCGTGGGGCTCCGGGCTGGGCAGGCTGGCCTGTGCGCAGGAGAGGTGAGCCCCGGGCCAGGTGGGCAGGGCGGGGGCTACAGGGCCCCTGTGTCACTTGGATGATGGTCGCGTCAGTGTCCAAGGCAACAGCTTTGTTAATTTTCCAAACCGTAGAAGAAGATGTGTTTTTAACTTCTTTGGCCTTTATTTCAGTGTACCTGCCATTCTAAAGTTAATCACCCAGGACAGGATGTCACCTGTGGGGAGGTGTCTGTCTTTCTCTCACTCACCCATTTGCAAAGTGGCTTTGCCTTTCCATGGTCTCTTCCCCCCACAAGACACCCCAGATCAGTTTTAACCGCTGACCTTTTGATCTCTGGGGGAAACCAGCTTGTACTTGAATCCTTGGTTTCAGGCTTTAAATATATGCAAGGAAAAATAAGCGATTGCTTCTGCATGCTGTGACTCTGCCAGGAAGATGCAGTGAATATCTGTGGATGAGGGAAAAGCCCTCCGCGGGGACCCCCCGGCCCACTGGGTCCCAGGGGTGTGAATCGTCCACGCGCACCTGGGCTGTGCATCCTGTGGACACTGCCCTAAATGGTTCACCCTTAACAGGTCTTATGTATTTTCAATAAAAACTACCAGAAAATATCAGTGAAAGAGCAGGTGAAGGGTGGAGGGCCTCTGGAATGAAGTGACCTTCCTGAGAGCTTTGCCCCAGCCAGCCCAGTGGGGAGAGCAGTGTTCCCAGGCTGACCAAGCGATTCTGAGTGAGCGCGTTGACTCAGGGTTTTGGGTAATTTATTTCTGAGTACGTGACAATCTGGTTTTGGGTGTCATGGCCTTGGCCTGCCATTCAGCTTTCCTGATGGGACTGCAGACAGCAGTGTAAATCTTCAGATGCACAGTCCGGGTCGGGGGTGGGGTGGGGCGCGGGGAGGTGGGTGAGTGCTGCTGGCGGGGCCCGGGGTCATCTGAGATGGTATATATGTATGTCACTCAAGTCCACCTCTGTGTGACCCCATGGACTGTAGCCTGCCAGGCTCCTCTGTCCGTGGGATGGTCCAGATCTGAGATGGTGGTTGTGGTCAAATGCACAGCTGCTTGCAAACACGCACACACAAGCACATCAATTTTGAAAACTTTGGTGTGGGAAGAAGCACCACATTTTTCTTTCATCTCATTTTGTTTTGGAGTCACAGGGATCAAAACAGCTAACTCTGCAACAAACAAAATGTGCCAGCCTGGATGGGTTCAGTGTGGGGGTCTCTCATCGGCCCTCTGCCTGGCTGTCTTTGCCTCTGTTGTGTGGTTGTTGATGACAATGTAGGGATGGGAGTAACTGAGATTTGATTACGGTAATAATTATTAGTATTACAATTATGGTTATTGTAAACAAGCCTTCTTGCCTTCCCCGAGACACGTGTGGGGAAGTTAGTTCCACACGAAACCCAGAAGTTAAGGCTTGGGGGAGGGAGGTACCAGCGATGGAAGGGTTCCCTTCTTGCTTTTTTGAGTTCTGTGACTGCAGATACCAGGGCGTCCACAATAGTGCCTTGCAGTCTGGAGATGTGATTCTGCTACCTAAGCAGAGTTTGGAGGTGGGTGAGCCAGGGCTGTCTTTCTGCTCTGCCTCTCTCTGGGTGTGACTTCCCTTGTTGAGGTTCCCTCGCAGAGCAAAATGGCAGCAGGGGATCTGTCTGTGCTCACACTCCAGGCTGTGGGAAGGATGAAGGGGAGGAAGGCAGGGGCAATGGTTCCTTTAAGAGATTTCCCGTAGGTTCCACCTGACACCCTTGTTGAAATGGAGACTATTTGCTGAGGATGTAATCACCCAGCAGAAGAGGCTGGGAAATGCCACCTCTCAGCTGGCCCATTTCCACATCCAATAATGGGGGCCCGCTGACAAGGGGCGAGGGAGGTGGATGTGCAGGAGGATGGTGGTGAGCCCTGCACACTTTTATACTTTCTGCACCTGCCATTCGATGTCTTGTGAGTTTGGTGCTGAGCCAAGACCTAGAGGTGGACCAGCAAGCGGGACTGGCTCGGGGTGGAGCCCGGGACAAGGGTGCAGCCCCAGAGCAGTGTGGATTCATGGGCGGCCCGGAAGGGGGCGGGTGCCCCCTGCTGTGCCCAGCCTGCTCGGCCTGGTCCAGGCCTGGGAGCACCAGGCACCTGCTCAAGTGGCTGCCTGGCTGTTGCTGGGGCTGGGGCCGGGGTGGAGGGCTGGGGGACTTGGGACCCGGGGAGGGTTCGGCCAGCCCAACGTTTACTGAGAAACCGCTGTGTGTGGGCGCCGTCCTAGGCAAGAGGGGGGCGTTGGTAACAAGGCAGAGCCCCCACCCTCTCAGCGCCCATTGTCTGGGGGATGGCGTTAGGGAAGTGGACACAGATCGCGTGGATGCTGACCTTGGCTAGAGACGCTCTGGGTGCAGCGGGGGCCTCAGGGGATCGTGGCCAGGCTCCTGTTCTCACTGCCGGTGGCTGGACGGACGCCCGGGTGAGGGGGCCGTGCAGGAGGACCAGTGGGGTCTGTGTGCCCTTCACCAGGTGACCTCGAGGAAGCAGGCAAGACGTCAGGGTAGGCAGAGGAGGGGGCGGTGAGCGGGCCGGCTCTCAGGACTGGGGCAGGGAGGAGGGAGGCAGATGCAGCGTGTCCCAGGCCCTGCCCGTGAGCAGAGGGCTGCAGGCAAGAGCCGTAGCTGCTGGGATGCCTGAGAGGTGCTGGGACCCTCCCCGAGCCCAGCACCTCACCAACCGGCGCCTCCGTGTCCTTTCCCAGAAGGGTTTGTGAGGAGAAAGAAGACGACCCTGTGGTTTGTGGGGGCTCTGCTGGTGGTGTCCGCCTCCATCCTGACCGTCGGCCTGGCCGCGACCACGAGGACTGAGAATGTGACTGTGGGCGGATACTACCCCGGCATCATTGTGAGTGTCGGGTCCCTGGGGGGCAGGTCTGGGGGCCCAGGATACAGATTTCCGCGTGGTGCTTACATGTGCCACCCCAGCCCCACAGAGGTGTAAATTTAGGTGGTTGCCTGCCTTGTCAGATGGCCCTGTGGGGTTCCGAGTCCTGAGAAGTGGAGGGGGGAAGGAGTCGGAACCAAGGAGTGCGATAGGCCCTCCTCAGGGTGTCCCTAAAGTCCCCAGAGGGAGTCAACCCTCTCGGAATTGACCTTGGACTTTAAAAGATGCCACGAAGCCTGGATGGAGGTACGCTAATACGACCACATGGGAGCAGCAGAAAAATGAGCTGATGCGGTCCACACCTCTGCTTCTGGGCAGTGAGCCCCCGGGGCAGTCACAGCCTAGCCAGACCTGGCAACAGCAGCCCCCAAATCCGAGATCATCAAGGCTCAGAACTATGAAGTCGTGTCCACTGTTGGCAGTAAGGTTTGCTCCCGGCATTGGCGTCGCACTCAGGGAGCGCTGTGGCATTGCCCTTTATCAGACACAACGCCCGGGGCGGAGTCTCACACAGTGATACTCAGAGACCTTAAAAATAAAGCGTATTTAATTTCTCACTGAAATTATTATCCAGATGAGTAATGATGTTGATGACATTTTAGTAAGGATGAAAATATTTTACAAACATCCTTCGTTTCATCGTTGTATTATTCTCTATACTCTGTGCTGTATAAATCTGCGTTATCTCCCGGTGTACCCTTTACGAGTAAACCCCCACGCACAGTGTCTGTGCGGATGGCATTCTCAGTGAAATCTCTCAAGAACCTGGCTTCCTTGCCTGTGTCCTGGATGGGGCGGGGGGAGCTGGGGGCCGGCGGCTGTGAGGATGTGTCCTCCAGATGACCTGCAGCGTGTCAGGATTAACCGCGAGGAGGTTTTCCGTGTTCTCCAAGCTTCGGTGGCTCAGGATTTCACCTTGAGGTCACTTTCAGAGCATCCTGGGTGTGTTCAGAGCTTTGCTCTGCAGAGAACCTGACTCCTGGGCAATGACCAGGGTGAAACTCGCTTCAGCTGGATGGTTTTGAAAGCAAACGGTGGACACGACAGATGAGCTTTGCTCAAGGCACATGAGGATGAAAGTCACTTCTGGGGACACACAGCTCCAGCCCTGTAGTGAAGGGTGTGTCTCAAGCAGAAACTGGGTGAGAGGGTGCAAACACCTCAACATTTTAGAAAGAGGGTTGTTTTTTTTCAAATCCGAAAACATGGAACTTACGGCAACAACAGACATATTTTAATTCATTTATTTTGGAGGGGATTTTGCTCTCTTGGATGGTGGAGAGGGACTGCAATATTTGGAAGAAACTGCTCGTCTTTCCTCACTCCTTGAGAATTTTTAAATTACTGGTCCATGTCCGTCTCACGGATGTCCTCACAGATACGGCGTTCATGAACACAGGGCAGGTCTGACGCTCACGCATTAAATTTGGTGCCATGGCCTTAGAGCCGCTACAGCCTGCTGCCCCCTCCCGCCCCAGCACCGCACGGTCGCTCGGAAGCCAGCGGGCAGGCAGAGCTGTGGGCACCACCTGGCGGGCTCCAGTGCTGAGTCTCAGGGTGCCCTGGGCGCCCGCACGGGGCTTGTCTCCCACTGCTCTGAGCAGCACCCCCAGCATTGCTGGAACTCTGCTCTTCAGAAACTAAGACGTTCTCCCTGGGGTGGGCATGGTGGGCGTGAGGCTGTCTGCACCCTGGGCGCCGAGATGTGCACAGCCCAGGCGTTTCCCCGCTGTACCCGCGTCACCCGCCCCCGGCCGAAGAGCCAAGGCCGAGGGGCAAGTGGACGGTCCCGAGAGTCACCTGTCCGCTAAGTGAGTGGACAGATGTCACCTGAGTGACGGGTGTCAGCTTGTCTGTGTCTGGAACAGCCTTGGTTCCGGCTTCCTGTTCCTCCCCAAGGGGTCAGCTATCCTCCTCCAACGGCCCAGGAGAAACCCTGGGACGGGCCTCCCTCTGACACCCTGACTCGGAGGCTGGGTCCCCGTGAAGATGTTCTCTGTGTTGGGGTGGGGGCCCGTGACGCTCTTTTCCCAGAATCAGTTCAACTGATGTGTTGTTCAGCTCAGTGATGTGCTCAACTCAGCTGTGCTCAATTCAGTCGTGCCTGACTCTTTGCAACCCCATGGACTGCAGCACGCCAGGCTTCCCTGTCCTTCATTGTCTCTCAGAATTTGCTCAAACTGATGTCCACTTAGTCGGTGATGCCATCCAACCATCTCTTCCTCTGTCGTCCCCTTCTCCTCCTGCCTTCAGTCTTTCCCACCATCACGGTCTTTTCCAATGAATCGGCTCTTTGCATCAAGTGGCCAAAAGTACTGGAGTTTGAGTTTCAGCTTCAGCATCAGTCCTTCCAATGAACACCCAGGACTGATCTCCTTTAGGATGGACTGGTTGGATCTCCTTGCCATCCAAGGGACTCTCAGGAGTCTTCACCACAGTTCAAAAGCATCAATTCTTTGGCACTCAGCTTTCTTTATAGTCCAACTCTCACAGCCAAACATGACCACTGGAAAAAACATAGCCATGACTAGGCAGACCTTTGTTGGCAAAGTGATGTCTGTGCTTTTTAATTCGCTGTCTAGGTCGGTCATAGCTTTTCTTCCAAGGAGGAAGTGTCTTTTAATCTCATGCCTGCTGTCACCGTCTGCAGTGATTTTGGAGCCCAAGAAAATAACGTCTGTCACCGAGGGAGTTCCAGTATTTGAGAACACAGCCTAGAGCACAGCAGCTTCACTGTGATCACTGGCTCTGACGGCTCTGAGAGGCCCGCCCGTGGGGTGCGAGCCACCCCCACCCCCGCCACTAGTGCTTCCAGCCCTGGGGGGTGGGGGGGCCAGCCGTGCTCTCTGATGGGATGTCCTGAGGTGGGTGGTCACTGCTCCGTGTCCGCTTTGGGCTGTCAGGCATGTAACCTGAGCGCTTTCTCCCTTGTTTTCCTTTGGCGTCAGCTGGGCTTCGGATCTTTCTTAGGAATTATTGGCATCAACCTGGTGGAGAACAGAAAACAAATGGTGAGAATCTGTGTTGTTTTGAACATGGGCTGTGGGGCACGTGGGGGGCATGTGGGGGGGAGTGTGGGGGGGAGTGTGGGCAGTGGAGAATGGCGGTGGGGCGTGTGGGGGCTGGGGGGGTTGGATGTGGGCGGGGGCATGCCCCCTCACAGCTCTAGCTGTCCGTGTTCCTAGGAAAGCCCTGCCCCAATCCAGCACCCCAGAATCAGCCCAAGCTTTGCACTGTAACACGGACTTGGGCCTTAGTGGGAGCCATTCACACCCTAGTCTAAGCGAGCCACACCCTAGTCTAAGCGAGCCGCACCCTGAGACTGGGTCAGTGCCGTTCACACCCTAGTCTAAGTGAGCTGCACCCTGGGACTGGGTCAGTGCCATTTACACCCTAGTCTAAGCGAGTTTCACCCTGGGACTGGGTCAGTGCCATTCACACCCTAGTCTAAACGAGTTTCACCCTGGGACTGGGTCAGTGCCATTCACACCCTAGTCTAAGCGAGCCTCACCGAGCCTCACCCTGGGACTGGGTCAGTGCCATTCACACTCTAGTCTAAGCGAGTTTCACCCTGAGACTGGGTCAGTGCCATTCACACCCTAGTCTAAGCGAGCCACACCCTGGGACTGTGGGTTATGTCCCACAGCATCATGTGTTGCCTTAGCATCTAAGGTTGGGCCACAGGAAGAAAAGTGTAACGTTGGTCATTAGTTTAAGTCACTGTGTATAAACTTCAGGCAAAACCACACATGTATGAGCATTTGTCCTTGAGTCAGGGGCCCTTGAGTGTTCTCCTGCCTCCGGGGTATGACAGTGTCTAGCTTCTCCCAGACTGGGGAAAGACAGGGTCGTGGAGAGCCAGGAGGACCGCAGCTCAGAGGGCTTTGCGGAGGGCGTGTCCGCGGCTGTCTGTCTGTGGGCTGTGCGTGCCAGCCTTGCTTGGTACAAGCCTGGTTTCTTACTGTTTCCGTTTGGAATCTGTGTTGCTGATGCGCCCCTTTGGGGAATGAAGCTCTAAGAATGCTGGTTAATTTTGCCGGTTCAGTGTGGCAGACCTCTGTGAGGTTCAGAAGGGATGTGCTGTTTCTGCCTCGTCTCACATCATACCGTGCTGGTGCTTCCGCCTCTACACGCTTCCATCTTCCTGCGGTGTCCCCAGTGCTGCAGTGGCTGCCCTGGGCGTCAGCGGTGTGTGAGGATGTGGGGAAGGCAGTGCTTCTCAGGAGAACAGCCTGGCAGCTCCTCAGAGGGTTACAGCCAGAGTTACCACAGATGAGGCATGGGCTGTTCTGTCTCTATGCTGGCCACCCTGGTGGGTGTGGCGGGGGGCTCGTTGTGGATTTGCCTTTCCTTGATGAGTGATGTTGAGCTGCTTTTCATGTTCTGGTTGGCTTTTGTACATCATTTTTTGGGAAATGTTTATTCAAGTCCTTTGGCCATTTTTAAAATTGGGTCTCGTCTTGTTGTCAGTACCATGTATTCCAGACACAAGTCCTTTACCCGACAGGTGACCTGCGGGTGCTCCACCCATCCGGTGGGGTGTCTTCTCATCTTCTTGATGGTGTCCTTTGAGGCGTAAATGTTTTCAGCATTAATGAAGCCCATTTTACCTACTTTTTCTTTTGTTGCTTATGCTTTGGTGTTACTTCTAAGAATCGCATGCCAATTCCAAGGTCATGAAGATTACCCAAGGTCTAGGAGTTTTATCACTTATGTTTAAGTCTGGTCTGAGCATGTCTGTGTAGTCGCTTCAGGCATGTCTGACTCTGTGTGACCCCATGGACTGTAGCCCACGAGGCTCCTCTGTCCATGGGATTCCAGGTAAGAATACTGGAGTGGGTTGCCATGCCCTCCACAGGGGATCTTCCTCATCTAGGGATCAAACCTGCCTCTCTTACGTCTCCTGCATTGCAGGCGGATTCTTTACCACTGAGAGTTGATCTTGTACGTAGCGTGAGACGGGTCCACGTTCCAGCTTTTGCCTGAGGTCTGCGGTGGTTCTCCTTTTCAGCATACAGATTCACAGCCCTCACTTTCCCTGGTCCTGGCTGGGCCGTGTCCCCTCTTGCCTGGGCCCTGTTGTCGGGGCAAAGTACCCCGTCTCCACCCAGCTCTGGGCAGCCCTCTTCGTATCACAACCTTATCTGTTTGGTATTTGCACTTTAAAGTCGCCTGCCCTTGTTAGAATGTAGACGGTGGGCCCAGCGGAGATTCGAAGATGACCGTCTAGCTACTGAGCAAGCGCTGTCCCTCTCCCAGGAGAAGAGGCCCTGACTGGACAGGGCGCGGCACTCTCCGCATAACCCAGAGCGTCCTATGGTTGCCGGGGCAACAGACACGTCCTCCCTGCAACATCTGAGGGGTCTGGCCGCCCGCACACAGGAGAGGCGCCTTCTGGGGCGAGCGGTCCTTCTGTTGATGTTAAGCCGCTAGCAGCTGGCGGGGGCCGTGAGGCCTGGGAAGGATGAGGGGCTGTGACGGGGCCCGGGACGCACAGGCCTCGGCTGAGAGGACGCTCTCCTAACGCTAGTCCTGACAGGCTTCCTGTGTCCAGCCGAGGGCTTGAGAGGACGTCCAATGTCTTTCCCAGCGCCGTCTCCTGGACCCTGGGTTCTCGGGCAATTCCATGCGTGCAGTCATCCCCGAGCTGAGTCTATCACACTTGTGATCATGCTAGCACTGACTTCGAACGTTTCCTGAAGGTTGATGAGGACGTTCAGGTCGTGGGACCTGTGCAAACTGAGTCAGACCACGTTTACACATCTGCAGCAGGCAGGCGGCCCTGCGTGCCAGGGTACCTTGGAACTGGTGTGCTTTCTGTGAAGCCTGGAGGCAGTTGGGAGGCGGTGTGGTGTGAGGGTCTTTTGGCTGAGACTGCAGGTTGGGGCCAGCTGCCAGCCGGGACGATGAGCACAGGTCTGTGAGGCCACCAGGTGGTGCCCGAGGGCCTCCCCGGGGCAGCGGGTCCGACGACGGCTCTGCTCACCCACCGCCCGTGGTGGGTCCGGCAGGGCCCCCAGCCCGGGCCGGCACCCAACTCAGGCACATGGGCCGGGCAGACACCCACTCCCAAGGGGGCCCAGTGACGGCTGCACGCAGACCCGCCGGTACAGCAGAGCCAGCTCTAGGGACAGCTCCGCTGCTTGGAGACGCCGCACGGCCCGGGGGAGGGGCAGCACCCCCACAGGAGGCTGTGTGCCCGTCCGCTGGAGCAGGCTTGCCAGCCAGGTGTGGGGCAGACCCAGTATCTGCATGGTGAGGAGGGGCTGTGAGGAGGGCGCCCGGCCGCCTGCCCCTCGGGACGGCCCCATGGCTGAGCGGGCAGCCTCTGGCCACGTTCTTGAAGCTGAAGATGAGATGCCATGTGCATGAGTGTGATACTCTACTTGGCAGCTTGTTTTTCACAAGGGTTGGGTGAAAGTTCCAGTCACTTTATGTACTTCCCAGGACGGAGAACGTGCCCTCATGTTGTGGATCGCACGGCGCTGGGAGGGGTCCTGGTGCAGGGCTGACACCAGTGACTGTAACAGGAGGGCACACAGGAATTCTCCACTTTGGCTATTTGTTTTCATAAAACTGAAATCGTTTCACAAGAAATATCGAAAAAAGTGTTAAAGAGATGGGTGATCTGAGACGTGAAGACAGGTTCTCAGCCTCACGAATAACAGAAACGTGGGGAGTGAGTGAGGCTTGTCTGCTATCAGATCGGAGGAGGCGCGTGGCAGAGGCGGGCAGTGTCCTTGGGGACGTCAGGGGCACGCGTCAGACGGGGGACCCGCTCGCCCCCGGGTTCTGGCATGCGAAGGTGCCCTCCGTGTCCCTCGGCACCTGTGGCCCTGGGTCCCTGGAGCCCGTCCTGCAGAAACGCTCGTGTCTGAGCCCAGGTTTTTCTGTGGAACATGATCAGGGTCTTGGTGGCAGAGTTTGCTACAGCAAGGACCTGCTGGGCTCTGTGAGACCCCGGCTCATCCGCGGGGCTGTGTGGGGAGGGGGGCGGGCGAGCTCCCTGTGTGCCTGCAGCCCCTCTGCCCCATGAAACAAGCAGCAACCGGGGCAGGCCGTGCTGGGGGGGAGCGGCCAGCATGGCAGGTCTCTAGCAGCCATGGTGGGAGGTGACCCCGCGGAGTTACTGCAGGGGTTCCGGGCAAGGACCCTGCGGGGTTCCGGGGGGACTCGGGACCTGAGTGGGGTGGGCACTGAACGGTTCCGCCACGCCCAAGCTGCTCCCGTCTCTGCTTCCAGCTGGTGGCGGCCATCGTGTTCATCAGCTTCGGCGTGGTGGCGGCCTTCTGCTGCGCCGTCGTGGACGGCGTCTTCGCCGCTCGGCACATCGTGAGTCCTCTCTGCCCAGTCGTCCTGCTTCAGGTTTCAGGTGCTCTGTGCGTTTAGGAAATCTTCAAAAGTTCAGTTTCCTCTTGCGGTACCCAGCTTGGTGACCCTCACTGTGTCCACGCGTGTTGTCCCGTCGCTGAGCTGTCCTCCCCGCGTTCCCCTTGTTGCCCCCACCGTAGCCAGTCACCATTAGACCCGAATTCCCCGCCTTCTCAGCGGCTCTGGGGTGAGCCGCGGTGCTCCTGCCCCGTCCCCCCAGGGGGCTCTCGCTGGCCGCTGCCTCTCTCCTTCGGGTTCGGAGCCTGCGGTGACAGGTCTGAACTCACCCCAGGTGGCTGCCAATCCAGGCTGAGGCCGCCCTTTCCACTTCCCTCTAGGAGCCCAGGCCCCTCATGGCGGGCAGGTGCCAGTTCTACTCCAGCGGAGCTGGCTACCTCCACGACGTCTACCAGACGGAGGTAAGGGCCGGAGCTGGTCCTCTCTCTGACCCGCGGCCCTGTCCACGTCGGGCTGTCCTGCCCCAGCGTGCCTCTGCCGCATCCTCACCACGTGTCTGGTGAGGAGCCTGGCGCCTGGCGTTACCTCCACCCTGGTCTCACGGTAGCCCCGCGGCCACGTGTCCAGTCTGTGTGGCTTTGAGATGAGCCTTTTAATGACCAATTAGTGCAACATAAGGCTCAGACACCACGCTCACAGGGGCCCCGGCTCGCCAGCTGTCCCAGGCTGAGGGCACAGGGTGCTCTCACATCTGTTTTGGGAGCGACGGGGGTGTGGTGGCCGCGTGGCCCCTTCTGTCCTGCCATCTCTCACCTCACTGTCTAGTCTGTGAAGACTGGTCAGCCTCTGACGCTGTGTGCAGGGGTCAGGAAGGGGCGCGGGGCGGTGGTGGGGAGAAGGCCGGAGCAGGCGCGTGGTTGAGGCCTCGTGGCTGCTGGGGATGCTGCCCTCGGGGAGAAGGGCCTCTGTGGCCACCCACCCGCGCGGTGGGACACCCCTTCTCCGGGGGCCTGGCCCGCACTCCCAGAGGGCGCTCTGGGGCCTCATCCCAGGCCGTGGGGGCCACTGCCCAAGTCCCTGCCCTCACTCATGCACGTTCCTCCCCGCAAGTCTTCCCTAAGGTGCCCGGCCTCCCTCTGCAGCTGGGTGGTCCCTGCCCCACTTACTGCCCACCTGGAGGGTCTCCCACCTGCAGGGGTCCCTCCCTGGAGGCACAGGGCCGAGGCCCTCTCCCCCACCTCGTCCAGCAGCAGGCGCCGCTCACCTGGTCCTTACGTGCCCTGCAGGGAGGCCGTGTTGCCCACCGGCCTCTCTACCTGACCCCGTAGAAGACCGGGTGGGTCAGGAAACGCACTCGGGAGGGGCGGCTGCCCGGCTGGGGGGCAGAGTGCCGGGGGAGGGTGAGGGTGAGGGCGGGCAGGTGTGGGCACCTGGCTGCCTCTCTGCTTGCAGGTCACCTGTCCTTCCCCAAACGGTGGGTGTCTGCTGAAGGTGAAGAGCAACACCTGCTACTGCTGCGATCTCTACGACTGCCAGGGGTGAGAGGCAGCAGGACAGGGAGGTGCAGGCCCGGGGCCTGGGCAGGCATGTCGGGGGAGGCCTCTTGGGGGCTTGTGCTGGGGGCCACGACCCTGCTTCTGGAGGGGCTGGGGTCGGGGATCGCCGCCCCCTCTGGCCCTGGTTCCCTGGGGAGGGGCTGGCGGCAGGCGCGGGGCCCTGGGGTGTTTCAGAGCCGTGTTCCCTGCCCCCCGCCTGAGGCTGGGGGGTTGTTCTGGGGTTTGGTCCAGCCCTGGAGGTAAATCTCGGTTCTGTGGGGACCACCCCCCGAAGACTAGGACCCCTGGAGTTTTGGGCCTGTGCTGGGCCTGCAGGGCTGTGTGTCCTGCTCTGCTCAGAGGCCTGGGGCGCTCCTGGGTGAAAATGGCCTCAGGCTCTGCTGCCTGCTGCATCTCCCTGCAGAGGCCTTGGGCCCCGCGCGCCCCGCCTGCCCGGGCAGCGCCTCCGCGGCTGGGGGTGACTCATGCCCCCCGCCGCGCAGTGCCCGGAGCCCCCCGGCCTACCACGAGTTCGTGGGCGTCAGCGCCTGCCGCGACGCACTCCAGCTCTACTGGCTTCTCTGGGCCTCGGCCGCGCTCAACGTCCTGGGGCTGCTGCTGGGGGTCGTCACCGCCGCCGTCCTGGGGGCCTTCAAGGACGCGGTGAGTGCCCCTGCCGTGCTGGCCGCGGCCTCGGCCCTTCAGCCCGTCCTCCCTGAGGCGTGAGTGGCCTGAGCCTGCTCCGGGATAGAGCGGGACGCGGAGCCCAATCCCTAACGGCCCTGCCACGCTGCCCTGGCCCGCGGCCCGCGGAATCCCAGCGCCTCTGCCCCGCGGGTCCAGGGCTTGGGCCTGCACTTCCCCAGGCAGAGGTAACTTTGTGTGCGTCCCTGAGAGTCTGCCTCAGCATCTAGGCGGCTCTCCCCACAGCTGGCGTCTTCCCCAGGGGACCGGCTGCTCCAGGCCATGTTCTCAAGCGGAGCCCGCGGGGCACCTCCCACAACCGCCCCATCCTCGGAGGTGCCACACACGAGGCCCCCGACACCCGGGAGCGCGCACGACCCCCCGCACCAGCAACCATGCTCCCGTCACCCAGCTTTAGAGAGAAGGCCGTGTGAACTCACCTCCAAACGCCCCCGCTAACGGCCGATGGGATGCTTGTTACCGCTGCCCCGGAGACTGGCCATGGCCCGCATCTCTCAGCTTAGCCTGGAGCCTCTCAAGGGTTGTGATGTGTTTCTAGGTTTCCTGACCCCAGATGAATCCTGGGAGCCATGGGAGACCCTGGTGCCCCCATAACCACCCTTCTCCCCAGCTCCCACCCTGGGCCATGCAGATCCCAGGCCCGGGTTCTGCTTGGTCATAAGGCTCAGCAACCAGCCCATCATCTTGCCCTTGGGACGGCCGGGGTCGGTGGGGCCCTCTCAGGGGGCTTCTCCTGCTGTGGCCAGTCAGGGTGTTCCCCTGGCAAATCTCCGAGGACAGGGAGGTTAGACTTGATGGCTGCACAGAGTCTGGTTTGGGCCCCGTGAGCCTGGTGGAGGCGGCTGGTCTGTCCCCAGGGACGGTGGTCAGCCTGATGGGCTTCCCAGAAGGGGCCCTGTGCTCACTGAGTTTGTGATAAAACCACTGCAGCTTCTCTGGGGAATGTGGCAACCCCCCAGAAAGGCTGCTCATTACACAGGACGCAGCTGTGTGTAAGCCATGTGCTAGACAAATTCCTCTCGCAAACCCAGAGCTCTGGGGTGTTGGGAGAGGCAAGCAAAGTGACTCCTTAGAATTTACATCTATGAGTAGATGCTTTTGTAAGTGTAGTGCATCTTATAATTGAGGAATTATTATAAACGGAGACACTTCATTCACCACCCAAAGGTCTCTGCTGCCAGGGCTCCGGCAGGCAGGTGCCAGGTGGGCTTTAATTCCGGTCAGAGGGAGACCCGTGGGAGGATGTGGACGCTGTCCCCTGGGAACCCCACAGGATGACAGCTGTGTTCTGCACGACCGCTGGACAGGGCTGCCCAGAGCCAGGCTCAGCCGACACGTCTCCGTCCTCTGCGGCAGGTCCCGCTGGCCCACCTGGCCTACGGCCCGTCCATAGCACCTCGGGTCCTCGGTGGCCCTGCCCAGCAGACCCTGGCCTGCTTGGGTTTCCGCGCCGGGCCCCTGGCGATCCCCACCTGCCCGTCCTACCCGCTGCCCCTCCAGGTAGGCCGTGTGCCCTGGCTGGGGCAGGGCTCACGTCACGGCAGCCTTCACCTGGGACGTGCTGCTCGGGCGGGACACGGGGGCGGGGGGCTTGGGCTGAAGGAGTGCGGGGGTCTGCGGGGGGCGGTGCAGCTGGTGTGGACCAGCAAGGGGGGCAGGATGGCATGGGGGGGCGTCCCCAGGCCCCTTGCAGGACATTTGACGGCCCCAGGGGTGCGTTTTGGGTCTCCTTTGCTCCTTGTGGCCCTGGAGAGCCAGCCAGCTGACCCTTCGGGGCCTCAGCTTTCCTAACCCCCATCCGGGGTCCCTGGAAGTTGGCTGCAGTTTCCTGGCCAGATCGACTGGGCGGGCCAGCTGCCTGGCCCCCGGGATGTGCCAGAGTCCCCGAGTGGCACCTGCGGGTTTGCAGCCTCCAGCCATTCCTTACCCTCGACAGCGGCTACCACACAGGCTTCACTCTAACACACCTCTGGAGGCCCTGGGGTGCTGTGGGAGGAGGCGTGTGGGGTGAAGCCTTGTTCATAGAGCGGCATTGCCAGACCACCCACCAGCCACCAGCACACCCCCAGCACGACGGCCAAAGTGTCCTCAACTGTCGTTCTGTGCCCTCGGAGGCAGAGGGCCTCCGTTTTGGGGGGGTGGCCTTGGCACATCCTCTGGTCTGTACCGATGATGACGAGGGTGGCACATCCTCTGGTCTGTACCAATGACGACGAGGGCCTGATTAGCTTTCACCAGCAACACGTGTAGGAGCATAATTGCATGCACAGCAGTAATCAGACTCCGAGGAGATGCCCTGTGTGTCTCGTCAGGAGGAGAAGGACAGACGGCTGCTCCCAGCTCTGCTTCCAGCGGGGGAGGAAAGGGACTCTGCAAGTGTTCCATCCAGTCACTGGCAGCGGAAAACACTCCTACACGACAGAGGGAGCGAGCAGCTGTTGGGGGCTGGTTTGAGCAGTTAGTCGAAAGAAAAATCGCAGAAGGAACTCACTTTTCTTACTCCCTGGGCTGCCTGGTCAGGAATAAGGACCCACCGACAATCAACTCACATCCTGTAACTAAGGGCCTTGCATGCTGTCACCTAGGGCCTTGCATCCGGTAAATAAGGGCCTCGCATCCTTTACTAAAGGACTTTTTGTCTGCCCTCTTGAAGGTGTCGCCTGTGTGAGCAGAGCCTGGTTTAACTTTGCTCTGTGGTGGCTTCCTACCTGGTTTCTGGAGGTTTGTTCCTTGTTTCCTGGTGGTTTCCCTGTGGTTCCTGGTGGTTTTCCCTGTGGTTCCTGGTAGGTTTTCTCTGCGGTTCCTTGTGGTTTTCCCTGTGATTCCTGGTGGCTTTCCCTGTGGTTCCTGGTGGTTTTCTCTGTGGTTCCTGGTGGTTTTCCCTGTGGTCCGTGGTGTTTTCCCTGTGGTTCCTGGTGGGTATTCTCTGCGGTTCCTGGTGGTTTTCCCTGTGGTTCCTGGTGGGTTTTCTCTGCGGTTCCTGGTGGTTTTCCCTGTGGTTCCTGGTGGTCTTCCCTGCGGTTCCTGGTGGTTTTCCCTGTGGTTCCTGGTGGTTTTCTCTGCGGTTCCTGGTGGTTTTCCCTGTGGTTCCTGGTGGGTTTTCTCTGCGGTTCCTGGTGGTTTTCCCTGTGATTCCTGGTGGGTTTCCCTGTGATTCCTGGTGGTTTTCCCTGCAGTTCCTGGTGGGTTTCCCTGTGGTTCTTGGCAGGTTTCCCTGCGGTTCCTGGTGGTTTTCCCTGTGGTTCCTGGTGGTTTTCCCTGTGGTTCCTGGTGGTTTTCCCTGCGGTCCGTGGTGTCTTCCCTGCGGTTCCTGGTGGTTTTCCCTGCGGTTCCTGGCGGGTTTTCTCTGCGGTTCCTGGAGGGTTTCCCTGCGGTTCCTGGAGGGTTTCCCTGCGGTTCCTGGCGGGTTTCCCTGCGGTCCCTGGTGGTTTTCCCTGCGGTCCCTGGTGGTTTTCCCTGTGTTTCCTGGTGGTTTTCCCTGTGGTCCGTGGTGTTTTCCCCTGTGGTTCCTGGTGGTTTTCCCTGCGGTCCGTGGTGTTTTCCCTGCGGTCCGTGGTGTTTTCCCTGCGGTCCGTGGTGTTTTCCCTGTGGTTCCTGGTGGTTTTCCCTGTGATTCCTGGTGGTTTTCCCTGTGGTCCGTGGTGGTTTTCCCTGTGGTTCCTGGTGGTTTTCCCTGTGGTCCCTGGTGGTTTTCTCTGTGGTCCGTGGTGGTTTTCTCTGTGGTTCCTGGTGTTTTCCCTGTGGTCCTGATGGTTTTCCCTTGATTCCTGGTGGTTTTCCCTGTGATCCCTGGTGGTTTTCCCTGTGGTTCCTGGTGGTTTTCCCTGTGGTTCCTGGTGGTTTTCTCTGTGGTTCCTGGTGGTTTTCCCTGTGGTCCCTGGTGGTTTTCCCTGTGGTCCGTGGTGGTTTTCCCTGTGGTTCCTGGTGGTTTTCCCTGTGGTCCCTGGTGGTTTTCCCTGTGGTCCGTGGTGGTTTTCTCTGTGGTTCCTGGTGGTTTTCCCTGTGGTTCCTGGTGGTTTTCCCTGTGGTCCGTGGTGGTTTTCTCTGTGGTCCGTGGTGGTTTTCTCTGTGGTTCCTGGTGTTTTCCCTGTGGTCCTGATGGTTTTCCCTGTGATTCCTGGTGGTTTTCCCTGTGGTTCCTGATGGTTTTCTCTGTGGTCCGTGGTGTTTCCCTGTGGTTCCTGGTGGTTTTCCCTGTGTTTCCTGATGGTTTTCCCTGTGGTTCCTGATGGTTTTCTCTGTGGTCCGTGGTGTTTTCTCTGTGGTTCCTGTTGGTTTTCTCTGTGGTCCTGATGGTTTTCCCTGTGGTTCCTGGTGGTTTTCTCTGTGGTCCGTGGTGTTTTCTCTGTTGTCCTGGTGGTTTTCCCTGTGGTTCCTGGTGGTTTAATCTGTGTTCTGTGTGGTTTGTTCCATGGTTCCTGGTGGCTTTCTCTGTGGTTCCCACTGGATTATTCTGTGGTTGGTGTGGTTTACTCCCTGGTTCTCTCAGCGGCTCATTTCCAATGAAGAACAGAGCGTTCACGTGCACAGTGGGAGCTGGGGTCCCTGCAGACCTGAGAGGATGTTCTCTAGAGATTTCCTCTGTTGTCCGAGGTCAGAAAGAAGTGTGAATTTGAGAGAGAGAAAGCAACAGAGATGGGAAGGGGGCCAGGGCCCTTGGATCCAAAGCCTCCTTAGAGGGTCTCCAGGAGGAGGGGTCGGTCGGCAGATGCCCCCTGGCCCTGGGCTCCGGATGGGTGGAGAGCAAGGACCCACTCGGCCCCACCGCAGACCAGAGGCTGCATGCACTCATCTTGTCCCATCACTGAAGGGGTTGCTTGCTTTACTTACTTCAAGTTGGTTTTAAGCAGGCATTTTTAACCCTTAGAAGTTAAGAAAAAAAGAGAAATTTAAGAGGTTTGTTGGCTGGTAGAAAAAAACGGGAAGAAACTGGAAGTTTTGTTTGTTTAAAACCTGTGCCATGCCCCAACATTTTCTTTGCAGGGTCACTTTGCATCCAGGTGTGTTAGTGTGGGGTCTCCTGAGATACAGAGCCAGCAGCATGTCTGCACAGAGTAGATGCACAGAAAGATGTACTTATAGATGGAGGTGGTGCAGGCATAGACTTACAGGTAGAGAAATAGAGTGCTAGAGGAAGAGAGTCCCAAAGCTGTAGGGCAGGCCACAGGCCGGAGGCCCCGGGAAGAGTCGGTTTTGCAGTTTGTGTCTGAAGGTGTCTGGGGATGAAATTCCCTCTGCTCAGTCATTTCCTCTTCAACTGATTGGATGAGGCCCACCTGCAACAGAGAGTGTGATCTGCTGGTCTACATGCTCATCCCAGCTACAGAACACCCTCAAGATGACATCTAGACGGTAGTCTGGCACCTGGGCACTGACTGTGGTCTAGCCAAGTTGATGCATAAAATTAACCATCACACGCTATGGAAAACATTGATATTCTTCATTATTCCCTTAAAATATGAAACGTTGAGTAAGCCCAGGGTCCCAGACAAGCTGGGCAGCCTTTTCCTGGGACAGGGTTTGCGTGTTCGTGTGTCCAGTGTCAGGTGGTCGATGGCCACCCTTCTGAGTGTCGAGACTGGTGTCCCATAGGTGAGGTGGGGGCCCTGTGGGGCTGAGTCAGGGCCTCCTGTAGCCCCTGGGAACGCAGCCTCATCAGGAAGCAGTCACTGCCTGCGGGCCTGGGCCTGGGGGTTGAGCCCAAGTGGTGCTCCCGTGAGCTAAGGAGGCTTTTCTGTTTGATTGCAGCTGCCCGGTGGCTTTGCAGCCTCACCCGGCTCCGACCTCCCTCTGCCCGAGGACTCGCAGCCTCAGCCCAGCTCTAGCTGCCGACATCCCCCCAGCGCCCCCACCCACCTCCTCCCCAGGGAGAAGCCCCCTCCCTACACGCCGTGATGCAGGGGGCAGAGATGGAAAGCAGTAGTTTGGTCTGTTCAAGAACAAAGCAGCCCCCTCCCCACTGTGGCTGCCTCCTGGAGACCCTCCTGCAGACCCTCCCTGGAGACCCTCCTGCAGACCCTCCTGGAGATCCTCCCTGCAGACCCTCCTGGAGACCCTCCTGCAGACCCTCCCTGGCGCATCTGTGCAGGAGAGGCCAGGACCATGCAGGGGACCCCAGTGGTGAGGCCGCTCCACCCCTCGTGAGACCACACCCCCAGCTGAGCTAAAATTCCCCCTGAAGCGGCAGGGCTCTGGCCTCACTGCTTACAGAGCAGTTTCGTTTCTCTTCCGTCCTCATCCATCATCATGCACGTTACCAAAGGCAGCGAGGCTGTGCGCTGTGAGGGCCGCCTCCCTGGAGACGTGCTGTTCAGGTGTGTGTGTCCCGGGGAGGGCAGGGTGGCCGCCCTCAGCACGGCCCTCCTGGTGCGCATCTACCCAGGGCAAGTCCTCCCGGCTCGAGGGTAAGCTCCGCGTCCACAGCCTGTGCTGGCAGGGGGTCCACCTGGGTTCTGCTCCAGTGGTGTCCGGGGGCAGGGGGGCGGCGAGCTCCTGGGGCCGCGTCTGTCCTGACTGTCAGCCCCCGGGGTGTCCAGCAGAGCCGGGTCTGCTCTTGGGCGGGGCGACCCCACATGGGCCCCTAAGATGCCGGCTGTCTGCTGAGAAACCCCTGCAGGGGCCGCCGGGAGCAGCTGTGCCCACTCCAGACCGAGGGCAGCTCTGCCCGCGGCCAGACACGCCCGAGGAAGGAGGAAGGTGAGCGCAGGCCTGGAGCCGCTCGCAGACCTGAGTCCCCACTTGCAGCCCGAGGAGAGGGGGCGGGGGAGCAGGGCGGTGGAGGGGGCGGTGGAGGGGGCGGTGGAGGGGGCGGCGGAGGAGAAAGGGGAGGGGGCGGGGGGGGGCGGCGGCTGAGTCACAACAAGACGCGGTCTCCGGCGCCCCCTGCCGGCGGGGACGCAGTTCCGTCCGGCAGACCCGATCCAGCCCCCAGGTTCCGGACGGTGCTCACGTTCACACGCGTCTCCCTCTTCCGAACGCGTCCCTAGAGCAGGGAGGGACCCGTGCAGTGTCTGGCCCCGGGGTGAGCGGGCAGGGCGGGTGGGCACGGACTCCCTGGCCCCTGCATCCGGGGGTGGTGTTGGCCCAGTCCCCGCTTCTGCCGTCAGCAGTGTTGTGTCTACCGGAACGAGGTACATCGCTTCATTGAAAACATTTTCTTGCTAAAAAATACCTAAACAACCACAATAGTAACGTCAAAGCCCACTGATCAGGAGTCAGTATACAACTATGATAATAAAGAGTTTGAGATATCACAGGAATTACCGAAATGGGACACAGAGACACGAAGTGAGCAAATGCTGCTGGAAAAATGTGCCAGCAGGCTCACTCTGCTCAGGGTGGCCGCAAACCTTCAGTCTGCAACAACAGAAAGGCAGTGTGCGCAAAGCTTGGTAAAGTGAACATACCTGCGTTTTGTCAGACGTGGGCTCGTGGGCCATGTTGCAGGTGGGCCCAGCCCAGCGCTGGCCTTGCGGCTTCTGTGGACAGGACGCGGCCCCAACCCCGGCTGTCCTGGAATTTCAGCTCCAGAGGTTACAAACCCAGCAAGGCCACTCCTCATCGATTTGGAATTTTAGGTCAAAGTCATCGTGACCAATCCTGCTGAATTCTTTGACTCGCTTTGGGCATATTGTTAAAAACAAACCCGTCAAAATTTAGGCGGAGTAATTCCATCGGCTGAGATGGAGCCTGCGGCCACTGAGAAGCAGCGTGGAGGCTTTGAAACGTCTTTCGCTGTGCTGGCTGCTGGCTGAGGAGTTAGCCTCTCTGCAAAGCTCTCCTTCCTGGGGGGGCGTCACGTCACGACGGCAGGCATTTGGGGCCTGGAGTGCCAAGTGTGCTCCCAGAACCCCAGGACAGGCGCCCCTGAGCCCAAGGCAGGCCCTTGCAGGATGAGTCTGGCCCAGCCCTGAGACTTGGGCAGGTCATTTTCCACCAAAGAAACCTGGTTTGAACATCACGTGACATAATGGCATATGAGAGGAGAATTCACAGGGCTGTGTTTCCCTGCCTAGACTGTGCAGAGAACACAGAAACTCTTCTTGTTTCTGAGGCTCATAGGGACCAAACGGGCCTTGTTTAGTGTGAGGAAGGTCGTCTACTACACACGACACTCGACAGCCTCTTTGAGTCCCTGGCTCTGCTCCGGCCCAGCAGGTGCCCCCACGGCCTGGGCGCTGGGCAGGGAAGGAAGGGGGCATCTGGACCGCAGCTGAGGACGAACTGCCGTCCTCTCCCTAATGTGACCCGTCCTCATCACAAAGGCAAGGGGGCAAACTCCCGACTTTGCAAAAGTTACACGTATAAATTTAGGGACTTTTCATAAAGAATTTCATAGTCACCAAGACAGTTATTTATGTTGAGGAGTATGTCAGGGTGTTGTGCACAAGTCAGGAGCCATCGAGTGACCCCAACGGGCTGAGGACCAGGACCCGGCTCCTCCCTCCCCCTGCAGGCATGCCTGGCTTCCCGCCGTCCAGGGGAGGCGGCCAGGAGCCCCCTCCCCAGCCCCGTCACACGTGTCCGCTCATTTCGCTTCATGTCAGGTGAGGTCCTGTCACCCCACCTTCCCTGCGTGGCGTCTGTTTGCAGATGCACCGTCCATCGGGGACACCTGGTGGAACTTGCAGGCACTCAGCGCTCTGCGTGTGTGGCGCCCACTGGCCTGCTCGGGCTCAGGGCCTGCCCGTCCAGCCGCCCTCCCTGATCGCCGCCCTGCATGCGTTAAAGAACGACACAGACCACACCTCTCAGTCCTGGGTGGACAAGCGCTCCTTGGAGCCAGAGGGACTGCGTCTGTCTGGGTCAGGTGGGCTCCAGGAGGAGTCCTTCCTGTCCAGGGCATCCTTGATTTCACGCACTTGGTGTTTTGGGTTCAAAGTGCAGAAACACGTGATGTTCAGATGTCTACAACCATGTTGCTTGAAAGTGAATTCTGGGCACAGGGCCGTGGGTCAGCGTGAGGGCTTCCTGCTTTGCCTACAGCCAGCTCGGGCTCCGTGCTGTGGTGTGAAAACACCTTCACGTGCCCATTGTTGTCACTCGTGGAAGTGTCGGTCAAGGTGGGGATACTGCCTGATCCCAGGACCCTCTGCGGCCCCGAGGCTGGAGCCTCTAACCCCTGGTGTTGGCACCAGCAGAGCTGCTGCCCTGTGGGGTGCTGGCATCCTGCCCTTTGGGGGCATCTTACCTGGTGTCCACCCTGCCAGGCAAGAGCAGGAGAGGAGAGGAGACAGGACGTCGGGGCCGAGCCCCAGAGATGCTCTCGTGGGTGGTCGGCTCAGCGCTTAGAGAGGGCGGGGCGCCAGGCCTGAGCAGAAACCCCGAGTCCATGGGCCGGGCGGCGCTCGAGCCCAGGAAGGAGTTCTCTTTCCTCTCCTCCTTCTGTGCCCTGTCCCGCCCCCTCAGTTTGTGCACTCGGACATGAGCCCGAGCTGGGGGCATCCTGGAGCCAGAAATCCCACGAATGACTGGCAAACACCCGAGGCACCAGGCCTCTGGCTTCCCCAGCAGGTAACGGCAGAGCTCAGTGAGGGCCTCCGCTGGGGTCCCATCGGGTACCAGGGCTGACCCCTCGCGCTGCCTGAGGCCAGGATGTCCACCGGCCCTGCTGACCCATCCGGGGCCCCACAGCAAGTGCCTCATCCACCCAGAGTTTAAGAACCGAAGTGTTCAGCGGAGCCAGGGCTCTGTGGTCCATGATGTCAATTCACTCAGTGGTTCCCGGACCCACACATGACTGGACGGGGAGGACCTTGGTCCAGGGCTGCAGGTAGTGAAGACGCAGCCCCTGGAGCAAACAGCAGAGCAGCAGTTGTAGGCCTGCAGCGAACCTGCGCCCCAGAACACGGTCTGACCTTTGACCTCTGACACGAGCTCAGCTGGGGTCAGCGGCTTCAGCGTTTCCCCATACTGTCCACACCTGCGTCTTCCTGATCATGCTCTCTGCCCCACCAGGTATTTTCATCTTGCCTGGAGCTGATAAAAAGTATTAAACTCCAAAGCCAGCAATTTTACTCTTGCCACAAAAATGTCTCTATCCCTCAGCCCAGCCACAAAGAATGTGAACAATTCAGCCCCAGCCTGCTGGTGGCTCAGGCTCCCTCCCCCTTCCGGGGACTCCCCCACCCTGCACACCGGTGGCCCCTCCTGCCCCCCAGCCTCCAGGGCAGCTCCCCCCACTGGAACACGGCACCTGCCCAGGCCTGGCCTCAGCGTGCTCCGGGCGCCCTTCCCAGGGACCATCTCTGCCAAGGCCTCCGCAGCCCAGAAGGCTCTCCCTGGGCCTGATGCCCACAGGGCGTAACTGCTGCACCCCCAGGCACCACCACAGGTCTCGGTGGGGGCTCCGTCTGCTGAGTGACCTGCTTCATCCTCGGCCACGGACAGGACGCGGGCTGGAGGCTGGGGGGTGGGAGGGCCAGGGAGGCTGTTGATGGGAACAGGGCTCCCTGCTGCCATGACGGAATGCTCTAGAACTGGACATGAGTGCTGGCTGAAGGTGCTAAAAGCTGCTGAGTCGCACACTGTTGGAGAGTGACCATTCTGGTGTGTGAGCTGGATCACAGAGGATGCGCTCCTCGAGCGTGGCCAGGGGGCCCCGTGTGCTCAGTTAGAAGATGCCCGCAGCAGCAGCGTTGGGAGGGAGCCTCATCCGCTGAGTGGCCGAGCCCCCAGCGCCCCCCAGCCCTGCCCTCTCCTGCTCTGACAGTCTTTCCCCCTCTGGGCGTGGGGAGAGCACGCGGAGCTGGCGGGAGCAGGCATGTCCTCCTGGGGCCTCGAGAGGAGTGGGCAGGGCCGCACTCCTCAGCAGCTCGTGGGTGGCACCTGCCTCTTTCCCTTCGCTCTTTGCGCAAACATTTTAAGCATGAAACTGAACGACTACTATAAACGGAACAGAAAGCACGCTGAGAACCCCGGTGTGAGCGGCAGCTCCTCAGAGCAGGGCCGTCACCGAGGCCAGGGCTGCCCCCCATCCTGGCGCCCACCCACCACGGTTCTGCTGTGCGTGGCTGGTCCTCTGCTGAGCTGCATGCCTGTGACAGACATGCGTGGCTACACCCCAAGGCGGGGACCCATGACTGGCCCTCTGGCTGTGGGTGACCTTGACTGGTCTTGGGGTTCCTATGTGTATGTGGGGTTCCCGGTGTGGACTTAGGGTGCGGGAGACCTGGACTTTGCTGGACAATGCCCAGCCCTGGTCCTCGGGGCCAGCCCACACCAGTCTCAGCTCCAGGCTGCCAAGATCAAGTCCTACTCGATGCGAGAACCTTTCACAGCTGTGGGCGCCAAGGTTCCTTCCTGTGCTGTCTGTGCCCGCATCTCCCCCTTATTGATGAAGCTGGCCCTGTGGACAGACACCTTGGCCACTGGCACTTCCTGTCCTGTCCAGCACCGTCCAGTCTTCTGTTGGGTCATTGCTCTCACTGATTTGCAGGAGGAACTCTGTCCTTTCTTGGTTGACATGGTTACCCCACGTTAACTGGTTACCGTGGTTCCCGATGTTTCCTCTGCAGCTGGTCTTGTCTCGCTCTTTATGGTGCCTTGATGAACAGATGTTCTTGATGATAGGTTGGTTTGTTTTAAGTGGACTTTATTTTTTAGAGCAGTTTTAGAATCACAGCAAAATCGACAGGAAGGTACAGAGACCTCTGTGAAGAGACTGTCTTTGCTCTGTTGTGTTAGCTTTACTCCTTTGTTGAAGATCAGGTGACTCTGGGAGTCTGTTGCTGGGCTCTCTGTCTGTCCAGTGATCCATTGTTCACTCTTTTGGCAACACCACCTCCTTCTCCATGGAGCACAGTCAGACCCACCCCACCTCGTCCTCCATGGAGCACAGTCTGGCCCACCCCAGCTCCTCCTCCATGTAGCACAGTCAGAACCATTCCGGCTCCTCCTCCGTGGAGCACAGTCAGACCCACCCCACCTCGTCCTCCACGGGGCACAGTCAGACCTACCCCAGCTCCTCCTCCATGGAGAACAGTCAGACCCACCTCCTCCTCCATGGAGAACAGTCAGACCCACCCCAGCTCCTCCTCCGTGGAGCACAGTCAGGCCCACCCCAGCTCCTCCTCCTTGGAGCATATAGTCAGACCCACCCCAGCTCCTCCTCCATGGAGCACAGTCAGGCCCACCCCAGCTCCTCCTCCATGTAGCACAATCAGAACCACTCCGGCTCCTCCTCCATGGAGCACAGTCAGACCTACCCCAGTTCCTCCACCATGGAGCACAGTCAGGCCCCCCGCAGCTCCTCCTCCTTGGAGCACAGTCAGACCTACCCCAGTTTCTCCTCCATGGAGCACAGTCTGGTCCATCCCAGTTCCTCCTCCATGTTGCACAATCAGAACCACTCCGGCTCCTTCTCCATGGAGCACAGTCAGGCCCACCCCAGCGTCCTCCATGGAGCACAGTCAGGCCCACCCCAGCTCCTCCTCCATGGAGCACAGTCAGGCCCACCCCAGCTCCTCCTCCATGTTGCACAATCAGAACCACTCCGGCTCCTTCTCCATGGAGCACAGTCAGGCCCACCCCAGCGTCCTCCATGGAGCACAGTCAGGCCCACTCCAGCTCCTCCTCCGTGGAGCACAGTCAGACCCACCCCAGCTCCTCCTCCATGGAGCACAGTCAGGCCCACCCCAGCTCCTCCTCCATGTTGCACAATCAGAACCACTCCGGCTCCTTCTCCATGGAGCACAGTCAGGCCCACCCCAGCGTCCTCCATGGAGCACAGTCAGGCCCACCCCAGCTCCTCCTCCTTGGAGCACAGTCAGGCCCACCCCAGCTCCTCCTCCATGGAGCACAATCAGAACCACTCCGGCTCCTTCTCCATGGAGCACAGTCAGACCCACCCCAGCGTCCTCCATGGAGCACAGTCAGGCCCACCCCAGCTCCTCCTCCATGGAGCACAGTCAGGCCCACCCCAGTTCCTCCTCCATGTTGCACAATCAGAACCACTCCGGCTCCTTCTCCATGGAGCACAGTCAGGCCCACCCCAGCGTCCTCCATGGAGCACAGTCAGGCCCACCCCAGCTCCTCCTCCATGGAGCACAGTCAGGCCCACCCCAGCTCCTCCTCCATGGAGCACAGTCAGGCCCACCCCAGCTCCTCCTCCATGTTGCACAATCAGAACCACTCCGGCTCCTTCTCCATGGAGCACAGTCAGGCCCACCCCAGCGTCCTCCATGGAGCACAGTCAGACCCACCCCAGCTCCTCCTCCTTGGAGCACAGTCAGACCTACCCCAGTTCCTCCTCCATGGAGCACAGTCTGGTCCACCCCAGTTCCTCCTCCATGGAGCACATTCAGGCCCACCCCAGCTCCTCCTCCGTGGAGCACAGTCAGACCTACCCTGGCTTCTCCTCCATGAAGCACAGTCAGAACCACAGTCAGACCTACTCTGCCTCCGCTTCCTGGAGCACAGTCAGCAGTCATGGAGCTCTGTGTCTGCCCAGGCTCGTGTGCAGCCTGGCCCTGGACCTGGCAGCAGCAAGGCCGCCAGCCTGGCCAGCACAGCTGGGAGGCGTCTTGCAGCCCATGGCTCTGAACTGGCCATAAGCTTTTTCTTGGCTGTAGTTAGCACAACCCTTGGCGCCCAGTGGAAGTCTGTGCAAACCACGCTAGGAAACAGGCTGGGCCTCGCTCTCCCGGGGGGAAGAGAGACCCGTGGTGGTCAGACGGCCCCGAGAGCTGGCCTCCGCCGGTGTCTGTGGCGTCTCGCCCCAGAGCCCCGCATGTGTTCTGTCTGCTGTCTGGCTGTCCTGGCCTCTGTGTGAAGGGGCGGCCAGGTGCAGGCTCCCAGCTGACTGGGGGAGCATTCCATGAGAACATTCCAGAGCCGTCTCCAGAGTAGATGGAAAGCAGAGAGCTTGGCGGGAAAGCTGTGGGGCCAGGGCTGAGAGGTGGATCAGCCCGAGTGGCTCTGGGCTCCCGAGGCCGCACGTGGTCAGGTGGTGAGCAGCAGGGGGTCTCCTGCGGGGCTCCGGCAGGACCGTGCTCGTTCCCCATTTCTCAGAGCCATGCTGGCCAGCTCCAGGAGGCCGTGGGTGGCGGGCAAGACCTGAGCAGATGGCGCCCCGGACACTTGGCTGCCTGCTTGCCTGCTTCAGGACACACTTTGGGGTTTGGTGTCTAAAAAAAAGTAAGAATCTTAGTTTTGAGAAAAAAGTCTCAGTCTATTGTAAAAAACGGAATCAGCTTTGGGGGTGGAGTCAAGCAACGGGCGCCGGAGCCTGTGCTGTGACGGTGCCTGCAGCCCTGGCCGCGTCCGGCTGCAGCTGCAAACCGCGGGCTCGGTCTCCCGAGACCCGTGGGTCCCACGCACTCCCCATGGCTGCCCCCGCCCCTACTCCTGCAGCCAGAGCGTGAGGCCCGCCCACCTGACCTCCTGCAGACCCGGCTCACTGCCGGCCCCTCAGAATGAGCAAACAGGGCCCCGGTTTAACCGGAGGGCTGAGGCTGGGTCGGCGTGTCCGGGAGCCGGCGGTGCTGACTGCCATACTTCCAGCCCCGCAGGCGGGCGCTGGCGCGGTCTCTTCCCCAGTAAAGGGGCTCGTCCCCACCAGGAGGACCTCGGGCAGCAGCAGGGGTGAGGCCCCTGGACTTACGGATCCCCCCCCCCGGCCGCTGACCCCATGACGGCCGCCGTGAAGCAGCAAGGAGCGGACACCGCCAACGCACAGCTAGAAAGGTTCTGTAAATATTTTATTTTTTTCATAGTTTTAAGTCAGAAAGTAGCATCTGGTGATAAAAATAACAGAATTTCTTTTCCCGGGTCCGCTCCGGCGGCGCTGAGGTTAGTCCGCTATGTACACGTATGTTACACGCGGGGAGGGAGTTGCCGAGGGGCTCGGCGGGCGCGGGTTCAGGTCTCGGGCGCGGGCGCGCCGCCATCCTTCCGCGTCCAGGGGAGGTTGTGGCGGGCGTGGGGCGGGGCGTCTGCAGCCCGAAGCCTAGGCGGGCTCGATGGGAGGGCAGGAGTGGGATGTGATGTCCCCGTGCTTGTAGGCGGCTTCGTCCAGGTCCAGCGCCTTCTGGTTGACCTCCAGCGTCATGCAGCCGCGGTAGAAGGCCGTGACCGGGGCCGAGGCCATGGGCACATCTGGGCCGCGGGGAAAGGGCAAGCGTGGCTCAGCGGGTGAGCCGCCTGGAGCCTGGAAGCCGCGCTGCGTCTCCGGCAGAACATCATGCAGCTCAGCCAGGAGCCCCGGCGGGCAGCAGACGCCTGCCACCAGGCTTGGCACAGCACCCCGACCCCCCAGGAGGACACACAGAGTCACATCCATTAAATATTATCTCCTCGGCCCGAATGAGTCATGCCCAGGGCTTCCAGGCTCTCTCATTCTCTTCAAAGCTGTTTACTAAAACTAAATGCAGCTGGAGTCTGGCGGCCAAGACAGTGATCCTCCGTCGGGGACAAGTGGAGACCCGCCTGAGCAGTGGGAGGCCCAACCTCTCCCACCTCCTCTGCTCTGCCGGGATACCACGTCCAGATGCCGGGGGGCAGGCTCATCTAGCCTGCTGCCCGGGCAGCTGGACACCAGGCCCCGAGGGCGGGGCGCTGGGGCACCTGGCTCCCCGTGCGGCCCCTGGGCTGGCCCTCCCCCCCAGCCTTGGCCAGACCCACCATCTGATACCCATGGGAGGTGTGGGATGGGGGTCAGCTTCAGGCCGATGCTTGTCCCCCTAAGCGTGCTGTCAGCCTGACCCCACAGTGGCTGGGCGGGGGCAGACACCCCGTGAGCACACGATGCTGCCACAGGCTGGCTCCTCCCGCCTCCCGTCCCCACAGAGCACCAGGCCCTGCCTGGGGGAGCAAATCAGGGCCCCTACCTGGCAGCCCCCCGATGAAGGTGAGCACGGGGCCCTCCAGGTGTCTCCCGAGGACGGCCAGCCGCTCCTGCAGCCCCGCTGGGCTCACTTCCCTCTGGCCCTGGGTGCCGTCCACCTCCAGGGTGGCCCTGTCCTTGCTCACAGAGACAGTCACCACGTGCTCCTGGCCATCACAGACCTTGATCTCCATCAGGACCAGGGTGACGCCCTCCACCGCCAGGACGACCAGCTGTGGGGAGAGGCACAGCTGACCGGGGCAGAAGGGCCAGCGGCCACATGCCCGTGGGCCCTCCTGTCCTGCCGAGATCCGTGGGTCTCCTGTGGGTAGGGTCGCTTATGAGCAGAGCGTGACGAGAACACGGTTTCTACACGTGTGAATTAGGGGGACCTGGATCCCCTCCAACGTGATTGAGGACCAACATATACAGCTGCATGTCCCCGGGTGGGAGGTGGGGGAAACACGCTCTGGTCACAGGGACACACATGTGTCGGCCTGGGCAGAGGTGACCGTGGCTCCCACCGTGTCTGCGGCCGGACACAGGGCGGAGCTGCCCCTTGCATGTGACGCTACCACAGAAGCAGCAGAGGGACCAAGCCTGGACCCGTGACCATCAGCTTGCAGCTGCAGTAAGAGGGGAGCTGATGGCTCCCTCAGGCAGGCTGACATGGGGAACATACCCCTCTTGGGACAGAGGCGGGAGAATAAACCCATTTCCACTACTCTTGCCTGTTCTCTGAGAAGACAGCCAGTGCGGTGGCCACAGTGACAGTCAGGGGTGGGGTGGGGACTGCATGGAGGTGACGGCGGCCTGTCCAGGGGCAGAGACTCAGAGCCCTGCCTGCCTCCAGGGGTGGCCTGGCGAGGCTCGGCCTGTTTGCACACTCACATACGTCATTTGTGAGCAAAATCATTTGGCTTAAATACAAGCGATTAATTCATATAATCTACACCGCTGAGGGGCAGGACAGTCTCCCCACTGCACAGCGGCCTGCAGGACTCCAGCGCCGTCCCTGAGCCACCAGAGGCCAGAGAGGCCCAGCTGAGAGGCTGCCGCTGGAACCTCGAGGGCGAGAGCCAGGGCTGTGCTTCGAGCGAGGGTGGGGGGCCGCAGCGAGCAGTACCTGCTTCTTGAGCTTCTTGGTGGAGTGGTAGTCGACCAGTGCCACAGAGAGGGCCACGGCCTGGCTGTTGCCCACCAGCGCGAGCAGCACCCCGGTGTCTGCGGCGGGTCGGACCCGAGCCACGGCCTCCACTGCCCAGGTGGTCTCCGTCCCGCCGGCCGGCGACGTCCGTGCTGCAAGGAAGGTCTCGCATCACCAGGTGGTCCAGATGGTCCAGGTGGCGCGGCGGAGAGGCGGCGGGCCCCGCGGGGCCCCAGGCGGCAGAGGCAACGGGAAGCTGGTAGCTCGGGGCTCAGTGGCCCAGAGTCGGCCATTTGGCTAGCAGTCAGGAACTGACCAGGAGCCCAGCGTCGGACTCCAGAGGCCCCAGCGTGCCGGAGCATGGCCACCTGCCCGCTCCCCAAGAACCCCTTTGAGTGACCACTGGGCTGCCCCACCCAGTCCGGCCGGGACCACTTCCCGTCTGGGACAGGAATGGGGTGGGGCTCAGTCCCACAAACTGAGGGACCAGGAAGGGTTGGGAAGGCAGTGAAAACTGTGCCCGACACTGTGTCCAATATTCCCGTCCAGAGCCACACTTTTCTGCTGTAATCAATGCCTCCGCGGGGCAGGCGCTACTTACAGGACACGTGTTACAGGACACGGTAGGCACACGTGTGCGTGTGTCATGTATGTCATGCTCCAAAGCGCCCTTGGTAGCCGTGGTGGGTCCGGGTCTCAGATACAAACACCACCTCGCAGATCCTCCCAGGTAAGCAACTGCTGCTGAAGGGGCCGGAAGGAAACCTTACCCCGCCCCGGTTTCTGAGCGTTCCCACCTCTCGAGATGCCGCAGGTCGACAAGGCCACTCAGGTCAGGCCTCGCCCTGTGCTGCTCTCTTCCGCCAGCGGACTGAGAGCCCCTTGAATCGTGTGTGGGTCCCCACCCCAGAGAGGGACGTAATGATCAGTACTGAAAACTGTTCACTGAACTGAATGCACACAGAATGGGAAAAGGCAATGAACAAAACCCCAAACCCGGCCTTCTCTGTTGCCAAGTTTTCCTGCATCCCTGATGGTGGGGAGAGGGGCGCTCTCTGCGGGGTCCCCTCGACGGACGTGGGGAGAGGGGCGATCTCTGCGGGGTCCCCTCGACGGAGGTGGGGAGAGGGGCCTGGCTGCCAGAAGCGTGTTTGAGGGGCCAGCGCCTAAGCTCCCCTGGGGAGGTTTGCTCAGGTGCCAAGGGGGGTTACCCGCATGCCCCTTGCCCGACGGCTTCTGGGGCTTTAAGACCCACTGAGTCCACAGCCTCGACCTGCTGCTGAGAACGGTGCCTGTAACTCCTGACATGTCCCTTCTGTGTCGTAACGAGGACAGGACGGCCCAGCCTGAGGCGCACTAGGGAGGCGCCAGTCCTGCCTGCCCTGTGGCCTTTGCTGTCACAACCTGCAGATCTCAGCCCTGCAGCCAAGTGGCTGCCTCCACGGTGGGCACACAGGCCAGCGTGTTACGTGTGACACTAACCAACACAAGGATGCCCTGGTCTGCGTGCACAGAAGCAAGGGCTGAAGGGGTGGTGTGCGTTCCGAACGAGCTGCAGTCAGGAGTGAAGGGTTCCCCTTGCATGATCTGGTGATGCTTGTGACAGGTAAAGCCAAGACAGAAATGGGGAGGGGGAAGCAGGTCCCATCTCTCCCTGAACAGACCCTCCTTTAACTTGGGCCACGCAGCGTGGTGAGGGTCATATGTGCGCCTTCAACCACGACAGGCTCAGAGTCTGGAAACAGAGACACTGGGGGCATGCCGGGGTAGGGGGGGCGAGGCGCCAGGAGGGGCCCTGGAGAGGCAGCCAGGAGGAGCCTGGCTAGAGGGGAGATGGAAGCAGGGAGGGGAGAGACCCCAGGGCCAAGGAGGGTGGTGGGCAGCCGGGGCTCCACACACCTTGCCGCCCCAAGGAAAGAGGCTCACAGGACCATGCGAGGTGCCTCCCAGGCCGTGACACAGAGCCGCCCTACATCCTCAAGTCAAAGGCCACCAAGGCCACGAGCCCAGGCACAGCGACGCCTCCGGGCACAGGGGTGCCCGCCCGGGGGCAGAGGTTAACTCTGGCCCTGCCCGAGGAACTCTGGGGAAATCCTGAGGCCAGACTCAAACGGAACCGCTGTGGCCCCCACTCCCCCTGGTCCACACCGTGCAGGCCAACCCCTCAGGGCAGCTGCGGCCACAGTCCTGCCGTTTGGAACATTCGCTCATTTCATGTGAAGCTGATGTCCAGGTGCCCACTCATCAGCGTGGGAGGATGACTGATCTTTAAACTGTCACTAACTAATACTAAAAGGGAAGCGGCCGTAGGAATTAAGGGCCCTGCTTTTCAGAAGCGGGAGGGCTTTGGGTGAACCGCTGTCCCCTGCAGCCACCCAGGACCCTGGCTGCCTGCCCTGTCCACCCCTCTCGCTGGGGTCACAGAGAAGCTCCTCTGTAGCTTCCGCAGTGGCTGGAAAAGGCTTAGTTCTCTAAGGCAGTCACAGCTGGGGCCTCAGGCCCTCCCGTCAGGGGCCTCTTCCTGCTGAGCCGGAAGCACTGGACTCCGGGCTGTGCCGCCCCTCCCCACAGACCACAGCGCTGTGACTGCAGATGTGCTCAAGCGGGTCCCATCTCAGAACCTTCCCGGAAGCTCCCCCTTGAGCCCAGCATCTCGTCTCAGCCACAGGCCCGCTGCTGTCCCCTTCTCCCCCAACCCAGTGCCCAGGGCGTCCGTCCCTCAGGCGCTTGGCTGGGGGGGACTGGCTGCTGCCGTCTATTTCGGGGAGTTTCGGCCAGAAGGCTGGGTGCGGCCGTCCCCTCGCAGGAGCGGAGACTCACCGTAATCCAGGTGGAAGAAGGCAAACCCAGTCCCGGGGAAGAAGGACCCCCTCTCGGTCACAGAGAAGCACTGCATCTTCACGTTCTCCTTGACTGTCTCCTGCACGGTGGTGTCTTCACCATCCAGCCAGTGCCAGCTCCTCAGGCAGCCGTCCAGACGCGGGTTCATCTGGAGACAGAGACCCCGGTGGCTCCCTGGTGCCGCCCGTCCTACGGCGCCCTGCTGGTCACGCACGCGGCAGTCCACCGCTCGCGGGCATGGACTCTGCTGTGGGCGGCCGCTCTGCCCTGGACCCACTCAGGGCTGCCCCCGCCCCCCACCTGCGCCTAGTCCCCCCTTGCCTGGCAGGCTCGGGGTGCCGACCGCCTCCTTGAAGGATGGGTGAGGGGACTCTCACATGCCTGTGCCCACGCCAGGCCCCCGCAGCACGGCTCCAGCTCAGCTGCACCTGCCATGGCTCTGAGCAAGTCAGGCCAGCCCAGCCTTGTCTGGAAAACTGGGAGGGACTCTGGGGTGTCGGAGAGACCCCAGCCCTCGGGGCGGGGGGGACACGCTGCAACACTGCTGCCCACTTGGAGCCTCAGCGTGTGGACTCTTGTCTCCTGCCCGCCGTGGAAACCTGCCTCGGAGCCAGGGGCTCTGGCAAAGACACAGCACGCCGGGGGCAAGAAGGGACAGGACTTTGAGAAACGACCAACACCGACCTCTTGTTAGGTCTTACTTCCCCTACAGGAACCTGAACAGCGTTAATAACCCAAAATGTTCTTGGCAACTGTCCACAAAATGTGTTTAAAAGTTCATTTTTTTTTTGTGAGAGAATAATTTCATTGTGATTTATCTCCTCTGCAAAATAGACATTTTCATTATCAGTGCAGACGAAAACGCAAATGAATTTCATAGAAAGAGACAGCAAGATACGTCAAATAGCTGCACCTGCGGCCTGTCATAGTCTAGAGATGTTCGCTTTCTCCAGATCCTTTGCTAGACCTGGTCAGCGTGGTTAACTGCTCTCCTCACCCACCCTGGGCTCGGACCCCAGGGACTAAGAACAGTACTCTCTGTCCTCCTCAGCCCCCTAAGCTCAGACCCCAAGGATGAAGAACAGTGCTTACAGGATGCACGAGGTCTTTCTCCTGGAAGGGGATGCCCCCCACGGTCAGGTTCAGATGGTACAGTCCTCTGTCCAGCTGGAACAGGTCCCCAGCCACGGCGATCTTCATCACAGCATCCTTGTTCACCTTGATCACCAGGTTCCACTCGAGCTCCTCGACAGAGATCTGAGAAGCACAGGTGCCATGAGGGTGGACGCGCACCTTCTGAAAGGGAGCTCAACCTAGGGTGCCAATTCCCAGCACCACCTGTGGCCAGGAGACCCCCAGCCTTTGGGGTCCAGGCTCACCCCCTACACTGCCTCCCTGGCATCCATGGTGTGGCTCTGGCCCCGCCAACGCCCCCAGGGGCCGGCTCCACCCCCTCATCCCCCTTCCTATGAGGGGGCCTCCCCTCCCTTTTCTGGGCCTCATTTCAAGCCTTAGCCAGAGAGCTGCTTCAGAAGCCTGGGGTCACTCCCCCGCGTGTCAGCCCAGGGGTCTCTGCTCCACCCTGGCCCTTCGCCTCTGTCCTCAGCTGAGCACGTTTAGACAGGAGCACACTTTCTACCCTGGCATTTTCTGCAGCCGGGCAGTGTCTGGCACAGACAGGACGCTGAGTGGGCATATGAATTCTCTGTAGCATTCTCCCCTCTCCCCTGCTCTCCTTGTAGGAGAGTTTAAAGCCTATGACTCTGTGTTTGGTGCATCTTGCTCAGCCCCAGCAGCCCCTGGTTTCCTTTTCAGCTCAGGTGGAGAATCATCCAGGTGCGGGGTCTGAGTTTTGTGAGAAGGCAAACTCGGTGAGTGGGGGGTGGGGGGTCTCGCGGGGGCCAGAGAGCAGGCAGATCATCGTGGAGCCGGGCCTGTGGCTCAAGCGCCGGGTGTGTCTCGGGGTGGGTGGGTGCTGGGGCCACGCACCCACTGGTCGTGCCTCCCCTGGCCCCGCTCAGGCCCTTTGTGTCCCTCGAGCTCAGGGCAGTGGGCTCCCACATGTGGAGCGTCCTCAACCCCGGGCACAGCTCCCCTGCAGAGCGACTGTCTTATCTGTCCCTTTGCAGAAGGTCTCCTCCTGCTGTCGTGATGGTGCCTGGGGTTTAAAAGTCTAGGAGTAGAGGAGCTGGACCCACTGATGGGATGGAAACACTAGCAAATGTCTACAGTGCTTTTACTCGTGGAGGCCAGGGCAACTTTTTCCATTTTATCTTTGCTTCTAAAGGAAAAAAGAATGCTTTTCCCATTTCTCTTTCAAGCACTTACTTCTAAAAGCCCAGTTCTAACAGTTTGGGAGGAAGCCTGTGTCATAGGCCACTTTGCTCCAGGTATTGTGGTACTGACAGAAAGCTGATGGCCAGAGGCCAGGCTCTAGGCAATCAGGGCGCCTCCATCTAGAGGCAGCCAAGTGTGAGCCCTGGAGGTCCGCAGGACTGGAGCGGGCCCAGAGGCAGAGCCCGGACGCTGTTGAGTCACGGCCGGCCCTCACCTCCACTGAGAGCACGTGAGGCAGGGCAGGAACCCAGATCTCAGCCCGTTCTCAGCCTCGGTGCAGCTGACAGTCTGGACTGCAGGGTCCTTGGGAAGGGGAGCCCCGTGTGCTGCAGGGGGCCCAGTGGCCCCGCTGGCCTCAATCCAGCGGCCCGGAGCCCCCACCCATAGTTGTGAGAAACAGAAGCGTCTCCAGACACAGCCAGTGTCCCCAGTGCAGTGGGTCCGCTGAGCACCGCAGTCCTGGTGGAAGCCCAGCTCAGCTTCTGCGATGAGATAGCGCCCGTCAGGGTACAGGCTTCCTGCTGGGGCCGCCCTGCTGGGGCCGTGCCTGCCGAGCCTCGCGGGGCCCTCGCAGGGCTGCCGGGGCCCCACTCACCGTCTGCCACGAGCCATCGTTGATGACGGGCCCGCTGCTGGTGACACGGCCCACGCCCTGGTAGTGGAGCTGCAGCTCCAGCCGGCCAGCCCGCAGGCCCAGGACAATCCAGGTGCTGTCCCGGTGGCCTCCGGCGAAGAACAGGACGCCCTCGGGGTCGAAGGTCCTGAAGTCGAACTCAGCCACCAGCCTGCGGGCCGGCGGGAACAAGAGGGTCGCTCGTAAGCTGCGGCGTGTGGCCCTTCCCGGCGCCGGCTCGCCCGGCCTCAGGAAGCGCCAGGTGGGCAGACTGGGTGCCGTTTGCACGTTGACGTGGGCAGTGAGTCGCTGGGCAGAGAAGGCCGGCACCAGCTCTTAGACCCGCATGGCCGTGCTGGGCGGTGGGTACCCCGACCAGGCAGCCTCATGCCCACGTCCCTGCGGGCCCGGACGCCCTCCGCCCTCTCACCTCGTGGGCTGCAGCCGTTTGAACAGCAGCTTGATCACGGGCATGGCGCTGAACATGCGGCCCAGATACAGGGACTTCACGCTCTTGGCCACGTTGAAGGGTACGCAGGGCAGGATGTCCTGTGGGGGTGGGCACGGCTAGCAGGCAGGGGCGCGAAACCCTGGGGCCCTGCCACCTCCGCCCACCGCCCGGGGCTACCTCACAGGTGCTCATGTCCTGGGACAGCTTCAGGCCCCCGCGCCCGTCGCAGTGGCAGGTGTAGCTCCCGGGGGAGTTGACGCAGGTCTGCTCACAGCGTTCCTCCGTGCACTCGTCCATGTCTGCAGCCACAAGGAAGCCCCTGAGCCCGCAGAGTCTTTGCCCGCCACCAGAGTCTTTGCCCCTATCACACCTCAGCAGATGCGAGGCCCAGTGTGGGGCCCCAGGTGGCCCAGGTGCACACTCCCACCCGGCCCGCCGGCTCCTTCCTGGGGACATGGTTGCATGCTTGCATGGCGGCCATCAGTATGGCCAGGTCGGCACAGGATGCCAGGCTCACGGTTCGGGTGTGGGTCTGTGCCCAGGAGTGGCCAGGGTGGGGGAGCCCGGATGGCCTGGGGGGCTTAGGGAGGCAGGCTGGGACCACCTGTCTCCTTCCTCGTGGAGGGGCAGCCACAGGCCCCAGGCAGGAAAGTGGTGGGAGGCAGTGTGGCTGTTTGGGCCCCTGGACATGGTTGGGCCAGGTGCGCTGGGGGCAGGAGAGAAGGCAGCACCCAGGATCCAGGCTGCCCAGCCCATCTCCCTGTGTCTCTGGGGAGGGGCTGGTTGCACAAGAGACAAGGGCCACGTCACGTGTACGGTGAGGCAGGGGCCATGTATGTGCAGGTGGGGCAGGGGCCACGTCAACGTGTGTGCAGGTGATGCAGGGGCCACGTCACTTGTGTGCAGGTGGGGCAGGGGCCACGTCACGTGTGTGCAGGTGGGGCAGGGGCCACGTCACGTGTGTGCAGGTGAGACAGAGGCCACGTCACATGTATGGTCAGGCAGGGGCCACATCATGTGTGTGCAAATGAGCCAGGGGCCAGGTCACATGCATGCAGGTGAGACAGGGCCATGTCGCGTGCATGCAGGTGAGGCAGGGGCCACGTGTGTGCAGGTGAGGCAGAGGCCATGTGTGTGCGGGTGAGGCAGAAGCCATGTCATGTGCATGCAGGTGAGGCAGGGGCCACGTCACGCGTGTGCAGGTGAGACAGGGGCCATGTCGCGCGTGTGCAGGTACTCGGACCCTCCAGGGGCACGCGGCACATGGCGCTCCCTGGGACATGGCGCCCTGTGTGTGCATGTGTGTCCCGTGTGGCCTCAGGTAGGTACCTCGGCAGCCCTTCTCCTGCGAGCTGAACACGTAGCCCTCGTCGCAGATGCAGGAGTAGGAGCCCGGCAGATTCTGGCACTGTGCCGCCCCGCAGGCACCCGTGTCCGCACATTCGTCTACGTCTGCAGGAAAAACCAGCTGCATCAGGTCCACCAGGCCTGCTGGCGGCCGGCCCGGAAGGAGCTGCTGCCCGCTGGCCAGGAACCGCAGAGAGGCGGCCAGCTCTGCGGGGGGAGCCCGGCCTGGCCTGGCGGTGTCAGTGCAGTGCCGCCTCCCCCTCTTCTCCTCCCCTCTCCCCTCCCCTCCCCTCCCCTCCCCTCTTCCTCTCCCCCTCCCCCTTCCATCCTCTCCCCTCCCCTCCCCCTCCCTCCTCCCCCTCCCCCTTCCATCCTCTCCCCCCCTCCCCTCCCCCTTCCCCTTCCACCCTCTTCCCTTCCGTCCATCCATTGGGCTTTCAGCCCCAGCCCAGAAGCAGGGGCCTGGTTGAGAAGGCTGATACCTGTCTCTGCAGGGCACTGGCTGGCCAGGTGCACAGAGTTGTTGCTGAATTCAAATGACAGCAGTCCAGGAAGGTCAAAAAGTACCTCTGGGGCCTTTTAACCCAAAGTCCCACCCCTCATCCCCAGAGCCCCCCTGACCACCAGGCTGACTGTGTGGGCCTCACACTGAGGTCCGCCTGAGGACAGTCACGGTCAGTGACCATCAGGGTCTGTCCTGAGGCTCCCTCTCCTCTGCCACATGGCCAAACCAGTATCAGCAGGAGAAGCCTGCAGCCAAGAGCTGGTTCCTAAGGAGACAGGGAATTTCTAGAAAGTGTAACTGGTACTTCAAAGTGTGCAAAGACACAGCTGCTCCTGACTTGTCACAAGGGAGCTCGGCAAACACAGGCTTTCAGACTGGGAAACTAAGATTCTTCCCAGAGACGGCAGAAATGATCCACGTGCTCCCCACAGGGAGCCTGTAAGCCCGCGGGCCCCACACTGTCAGGACTGATGTGCACCGAACTGCCCAACCTACAGGCACTGCAGGAGCCAGGCTGGGCCGAGCCCACATGGGCCAGGCTGGCAGTGGGTCCAGACCAGCCCTAGCTATTCAGGGGTGGGAGGTGCCAAGCGGAGTCCCCAGCGGGTAGGCACCACGCTCACACTGGGGACCACGGGCAGGTACCCCGCACCGTGCCATCTCAGCAGTGCCAGCCCCCGCCCTCGGTTGCCGAGACTTCACTACAATCGTAGGGAAAGCTCGCAGCCCACCCTGCAGTCTTGCTCAACCTAACCGGCTCCATGAAAGTTCATGATGAGCAATGACCGGCCTCTGGGTGGTCCCCTGTTTGCAGCCAAGAAAGTGCCCAGAGATTCATCCGTAAAGGCTGGGCAGTGTTTCAGGGCAGACCCCTGGAGCCCAGCCCCACAGGCGCAGAGTCCCCACCCCCTCGCTCTCAGCATCTCAGGGCTGACCACAGAGGACATAGTGAGAAGATACCTCACTGCAGGGATCCTAAGGAAACAGAGATGCCAAGAGAAAGGGAGGTGCTCGGCCAGCATCCGCAGGCACACCCCAAAACAGGTGTTGGGGTGGGGCCCGTGCCATCAGGCTAACTAGAGACCAGTCCTGCTAACAGGGGAGGCACAGAGCCTGCCCCGCTGTCCTCAGTCAGGGATGCAGGATGCTGGGATTCACTCAGAGCCGGAGGCCTCCTCACCCCTGGGTGGTCTGTGAGGTAGACAAGCGGTTCAAAGCCGGTCCTCGGGGTTTTCCAAAGAGGGCGCCTTGGCAGGGCTGCGACAGTGCCTGGGGCACCCACATGGACAGCACAGGGGTCCCCTAGAATCTGAGCCCCACAGTCTGGGCCAGGCCCCGGAACTGCCCTGGCAGCCGCGGGCACAGGAGAGGCTGAGTCTGATAGAGAAGGGTCCCCGGAGAAGTGAGGGGAGAAGCCCTGGATCCCTGAGCACCGCCTTCCACACCTCTCAACGACCGCCCTGCAACAAGGCCTGCCAGGAAGTGCGTTCTCAGGGGGAGGCAGACGGCTGTGAAGGGTGGGGTGGGGGTGGGTGGGAACTGCCACCGGGACACACGGATGCCTCCCGCGTCTCGTCAGGCCTGGGAGGCACCGATGTACATGGACTGGAAGTGGTTTCTCCAGATAAGAGAGCCGACCCGCATCTGTGCTCGGGGCCCCACTGGGGCTCCTGGCCCCCCGGGCCCTGACCCCTTGTGCTGCCGCAACAGATGGGAATTCATGGAGAGAGAGAGGCGGGCGGGCGAGGTGCCCCTGGATAGTGGGTGAGAGATGGGTGCCTCTGGGGGAGCGGGCAGCTTGCAGTGGTTTCTTGGGGTGCCCCGGGTGCTGGATGTGGGGAGCCCCAGACTGCAGCCCCAGACTGCAGAAGTGGGGGTGCAGGGTAGCTGCCTTCTGCTTCACTCCATAGCAGACCTTTCTCAGAGGAAGGCTGGTGACTGGGGCCTTGGGAAGCCAGTGGGGTGGGGGTGATGAGGTAGGATCCTGGAGGCATCGAGCAGAACCCTGCAGGCCTCCCCACCCCCCACCCACCAAGTATGAAGCTGAGCAGTCCTGATCAGGACGACAGTCACAGACTCAGTGTCAGATGCACATGTCTGAGTAGGTTTACAGAGGCTGTAACTGGCACCAGAGGCACAGGAAGGCTGCATGGTGAGCAGACTGCAGACATGCCAGACGCGGCTCCATCCTGAGCAGAACTAAACCTGTGGCCTTGAGAGAATGGGATTCACACTATCGCTCACGACAATCTGTGTCTCTGTGGGCAGTGGAATCGTTTGTTCTGCCCATATGTGTAAGGAGGCAACTAAAACCGTCAGGAAAGAGATGCTCCAGGCCTACAGGGACATCATTCCCTCTGAGAGCATGGTGCCCGTGTCAGCAGGAGGCAGTTACAGAAAGCAGACCATCAGCCCAACCCCTCAGAGAGGCAGTGACGTTCTGTGAGTGCGGATTCGTGAGCAGCCCTTTGCAGGACTCTGCCCTGAGCAGGAAGCCCTCTCTCACATCACTTTAGCAAAACTGCATTGTGACTGGCTCTTAACCAGGCCCTGCCCTACTCCACCCCACCTCTGGCCCAAGCACACCTTCACAGAGCACCCTGCTTGACCTAATGGTTCTTTTTGCAGATCAAACTAGAAATAAAGGACAGATGACCAGGTCTCTCCCCAGCTTCCCCTTCAGTAACCTCACGAACAAACTGTGTGACCAGACAGTAAGACAGTGCCTGGAGGGGCTGTGAGGAGAGCTGAGCGGCCTGCACGCTGTGCGGGCAGCAGGACGCTGACCCCCATCTCAGTGGCTAATGAGGCTCCTTCCTGCGTCCCTTTAAAAGCTCTCAAGGCCAAGCCGAGTCTTCAGAGGTGGTTTTGGGGGTTGCTGAGCCCACCATCTCCCCAGCTTGCCAGCACTCTGATTAAAGGCACCTTCTTTTTCTACCATTCGAGAGCTCTGATCCTGCCCACGCCTCCCCACAAGGCGTCTGGGGCCCTGATGTGCACAGGAACGTCTGCAGGCTCCGTGGCCGGGAAGGAGGCCTGGCAACCACCCCACCGCCTCTCCCAGAGCAGCAGACAGGCCTCCCCAGCTGGGCTGGCTCCGTCCGCAGATCTGAGTGAATCGGCCTGTGTCCCGGCTCCGGGGCTCGTGGCCACGGACAAGCCTGGGCATGTGCTGTGTCTGCAGGACGCCCTCCTGCCCTCCCCCCAGAGCCACGGAGCCAGCCACAACCTCAGCCTCCTGCAGAGGAGCCAGGCGACCAAGGCCTCAGCCTGCTGACTGCTGGCAACTGCAGAAGCGAACGGGTGAGGATAGAGGCCGGGGGTCCCAGGTCAGGCTCACCGTGGCAGGTCCGACTGTCTGGGGAGAGCGCGTAGCCCCCGTGGCAGGCACACTGGAAGCTGCCCGGCTGGTTGTAGCATATCTGGCTGCAGCCTCCATTCTCCTGGCTGCACTCGTTGACATCTGGGAATAGGACGCGGGGCCAGAGGTGACCCACGGCCACCTGGAACACTCGGCAACGTCTGCACCCCCAGCCCCACAGAATCCACCCTCAGACCCTGGGTGGGGGGCACAGAGGCCCAGTCTCGTGTCTGGATGGGAGGCTCTGAGGGGCTCAGGGCTCCCTCTGCAGTGAGGGGCTGCCCAAGGGTTCTAACCAGGTCCCAGGGTCTACTGCAGCTTCTCTGCTGACCCAGCACGCTGGAAACTCAGGGAGGGCGGAGGTGAACCTGCTTCCGACTCCCTTCCAACCAGTGGGGGCCCAGACAGGTAGCCTGCCTCAGGGAGGGCGTGCTCTCCTCCATAGTGCCCTGGAAGAGCTGGAAGAGCTGGCCTGGCTTGGGCACTGCTCGGGGCTCAGCACCATGGCTTTTCAAGCTGAATGGCACCCTGCTTGGGGTAGCAGCAGGACACCCAGCACTGTCCAGACATCCACGCCTCTGGGAGGACTTGAGAGGGCTGAGGACCCCACCCACCCATCTCCTGGGAGCCGACCAGCTCCTGTATCCCCACACAGCTGGCCTCCCCCCGACGTCTCCTCACTCCTGTCGCAGCCAGACACGCTGCTGTGGCTGTGTCCCCAGGCAGGAGCGGAAGAGGAGGGCCAGAGCCCAGCCCTACCAGCCCAGGCCCTTGGGTGGCCCTGAGGGGGCTCCCGACACCCCTATCTCCCCAGGTAATGCAGCCTTACCTCTGTCGCAAAGTCGCCCTGCCCAGCCGTCTCTGCATTGGCAGTAGAAGTTGCCCATGAGGTCCTGGCAGACTTGGGTCCCCTTCTTATCGCAGGGATCTGGAGAGCACTGGTCAGGCAGCTCTGAGTGGAAAGCAAAGAGAAGGGGGCCCTGAGCTGGGAGAGCGCCAAAGCAGGTCTGGGGCATTGGCTGGCCACACCGAACCCCACCTCCCCCGGGGGGGGTCACAGACCAGGCTGGCCAGGCCCCGGCTGACCCCAGGAAACTCAGGTCGGCTTGGAGGGAGCAGCCGCCCACCCACCAGGCTAGAGGCTGGGGCTGCGCCCTGGGGCCTCGGGGGAGACGGGAGGCCTGGCTGGGCCCCAGAGCCAGACGGACCTCCCAGGGAGTGGGTCACAGGGCCCCAGCAGGCACAGGAAGCAGGTACAGGTCCCCACCCCCTGCCCAGCTTCCCCCGAGACTCGAGCAGTGGCCCCTGCTCCCCGAGCACTCAGCAGCCCCGTGTCCAGCTCGCACAGAGCGTGCCCAGGACCCCTGGGCAGTGGGGGACATGTGCGGGGCCAGGCAGCTCCCGAGCTGGATGGTCCTGCCACCCCCCTGCAGCACCCAGCACATCAGAGGCCCCACAGGAGGGGTGGCTGGACGCGGACGCGTCCCCACCCGACACACTCGGTTAGACTTAAGTTATTGCAGAAGGACAAGCCTGAGCTTGTTACCTTCGCCTGGAATTTGCCTAGAATGCCCAACACCGCCCATTACAAATCTCAGGGTCCCCAGGCCGAGAGGGCAACCCCACCTTCTCCTGGGGGTGGACAACTCCCAGCAGGAAGAATTCCACCCGCTTTCCTTTGCTGCCTCATTGGAAAGCTCATCTCTGGGGCAGAGTGAGGAGCGTGTCTGCGGGTGTTCCAAGCTTCTGAGGAATTCGGTGGATGCGGGCAGCCCGCGGACAGGCTCTGGGCTGAGTCCTGACCCAGGCCGAACAGGAGGGAGGTGAGGGGTTATCTGCCTGCTGCCAGCGGTGGGAGGGTGCGAGGGAGAGAGGCCGCCCTCTGCACTGGAATGCGCGGCATCTGCTATGGTCAGTGGAGGCCAGTCTCTTGGCTTCTGCTCCTCCTTCCAGAAATGTGAGGGCAACGACAAGATATAACCTGGGCAGGGCATGCTCAGAAGAAAGCCGAGACGCTGCTCTCGTGGGGACAGCTGGGTCACAGACGGCTATGCCAGAGGCTAGTGGGGGCCGAGATAACGTGTCTGCTCCGTGGGACTCTCAGGCCAGAGCCAGGCCTGGGGTCAGGCTCAGCTGAGACGTGTGTATGTGTGGATCGAAAGCCATGTGACCAGACACCAAAGATGCCAGTGTTATCGTATGATAACTTAATAATAAAGATGCATGATGACCGGGGGGCGGGGGGTGGGGAATCTTGCTACCTTTACTACAAACAGCTAACCCGCAAAATCTATTAACAGTTCCTACAAACTGAGAAAGGTAGGCAAAGAACATGAACAAACCATTCGCAGAGAAAGAAACACGTGAAGCTCGGCTTCACTCATGAGTAAGAAAAACTAAACTGAACGGATTGAGGGTCATTCCCCACTTTCCTACTGGAAAAGATAAAAAGTAAAAAGAAGTACATTTGGTAGGTGCAGGTATTGGGGGGCACTCCCGCCCTCTCTGGGCCTAACAGGCCAGGTCTGCGTCAAAACTGGGAAAGGACACAGCTCTCCCTCTGCACTTCCACTCCTAGGCACTGACCCAGCAGAGGTGCTCAGGGAGACAAGGAGAGCACTCCGGTTTGTCTGTTACAATAAAAAACTGGAAAAAGCCCAGGAGTTTGCCAGTGCACCCCGCTTACCAAGCATGCTGCCCACCAAGTGAGCTGAGAACATTCTCAGAACCAGTGACTGTGGTGAAAGGGGACTTGACTGACCAGGAGGTGGGCCCAGATGGGCCTTCCCTCCACCTGGGAGAGGTCTGCACTTCATGCCGCACACACTTCGGCTCAGGGCAGAGGGGCTGACCTCAGGCTGTGGCTCTGAAGGCCATAGGGACACCCGGGGCTCCTGGGAATGACCGCGAGGCCCTGAGAGCCCAGACTCAGGGCTACAAGGAAGGAACGCACTTACTTTGCACGCAGGTGACGAAAGCTGGGTTCTTTCCGTATGGAGATCCATATTTACTGATGCATTCTGCAAGACAGGGAGGGGGGTGTCACCCTCTGACATGCTCATGCTGACACAGAATTTTAACACCAAAAACGAGCAGGTGCCTCCAATGGGCAGAGCTCTGTCTGAGGGGCGCTGGCCCCTGTAACCTTGAGGACGGAGGCTCCTGCTATTGCCCAGAAGGCTCTCTGGTGGCCCTCTGGATGCTCTCTGACCGTGGCAGAGACCCAAGCTCCATCTCAACCTGACCAGTTTGGAACAGCGCTCTGGGTTTGATGGAGACCGAGCTCCTCCCCGCTACGCAGTCAGCTGGGCCTCCACACCGGGCTGGGGCGGGGGAGCGACCACGTGCACCTGGGACAGTGGATGCTGAGCCACTGCACTGGCCTCTCAGGAGGCCGCTGCTGCCCAAGCAAATGTGGAGGATGTGGGCACGGTAGTGGACAGCACCGGAGGCGGCCCAGGGGACCACGGCCACCCTTCCTGAGGACACAAACCTGCGCACCCAGAAGCAAGGCCACACGGGGCCTGGGCTGGGCTGCCCAGGGCCGACCATGGTCCACTCTGCTTGCCACCAGATGTGCACCCCAGAGAGGCACCTCTAAGAGGCTGTAAGGTCAATGGAAAAGTGACCAAAATGCACTTGGCATAATTAGAAGGGAGAGCCCCGAATACCTCTCTCGTCGTAAGTACAGACATCCCAAGAACCCTCCAAGAGGCACTGACCAAGGAGCAGCTCCGCGGGGACTTCCAGATCGCCCTGGAGAGACTGGGCCGTCTTCCTCTTGTTCCCCGCAAAGTCCAGAGGGGCTTTCCAGGCCCCCCCCCAACACTCACAGAGATGTCGCTGCTTGACAGCCAAGGCGGTTTGCTTGCACAATCTTGTTGTTCAAGTTAAGCGAAATCATCTCTAATGTTCTCAGCTTTAGTTACTCTTAGGGCGTCAACAGCCACAGCCAACACAGGCAAGAGCTCCCCGGGGCCTTCAGTAACGTCACGGGGGGAGTCCTGAGACTAAATCAACCGTGTTCCCAGTTAACCAGCTAAGCTGGGGGTCAGAGTGATGTGGAGGTTTGCCAACAATGACGCTGGCTGCAAGTGACACTAGTGGTCACCAGGGTGGGAGGGTCACAGACCAGGCTTTGCCCTGTGAGCCCACGAGGTCCCACCTCACTGTCACGGAGCTTTGTCCCTCCAGGAATAACTCGGTGACGCGGTCTGAGCAACCTCTCCTCCCCAACTAAAGGAGGCCATGATTTCAACTTACCTAAGTACCTTGGATAAAAGTACTCCTGTGGAAAGAGAAAAAGAAAGGCAGCGGTTAACTGACAGAGTGACTGGCGTCTGGGCACCCCCACAGCCGCTGGGCTAGGAACCTCGCCCTCCCCTTGGGAGGCAGGTGCTTGCAGAGGGCGAGGGCGAAGGCGAAGGCGAGGAGAGTCCAGAAAGCTGCTTTCTGCCTCTAAGATGGCAGGGAGGGGCGGGGGAGGGGAGGGGAGGGGAGGCCCAAGCAGCCCCAGGGCTTCTGCAGGGTGCTTGCATGCTGAGACCCCACCAGCCATAACCAGCAGGCCAGTGCCACTGACAGCAGCTATGCCACGTGGGTAAAGTGTCTTTCAGAAGGATGAGAAACGCCCAAAAGAACCCAGCCTCAGATCCCGGTGGGAGGACTCCCAGGAGCTACTGTGCTTGTAAACCAGGCCAGAAGAGGACAGAGGGTGTGAAGTGCTCGTCCTTTCACCCACGACTGGGCATTACAAGGTCGGAGCTGGGCAGTGAGTCTGGGAGACCGTCTCCAGCTGCCACGGGGCGGGGTCACAGCAGCCCGCCCCACCTCTGACGCCCCTCAGGATTGATGGCGGAGCCGTTCGGTCCTAAATCCCCTCCCCAAGGAGAGCAAGTGACCTGATGTCACCAGCTTGCTGGTGTCTAACCCTCACAGCCACCCTCCCAGGAAGGTCGCTCTCATCGGCCCATTGTCACAGATGAGTGAGCTGAGGCTCCAGGCCTCTGTGGAGGTGACTGCCACCTCCACTCACTGGGCTGGGCCCCCGGGCCTGGGAGCGGTGTGGGGGCGCCCTGTGCAGATGCAGTCAGTTCATGCTTTTAGAAATAACATTCTGGTAGGGGTGCTTCTTGTAAAATGCTCTCTTAAAAGAAAAGGAAAGATCAGACCAAGTCCAGGGCTCTGAAGCACTGCCAAAGGTGACATCCCTGGGAACGTGACAAAGAGGCGGGCGGGGTCGGAGGAAGGGGCCTGCCCCCTCCCTAGCTCCCAGGCCCCTCTCCGCTCCTACAAGCCGGGCTGCGTTTTCCCTGCCCAATTTCAGTCCTGCATCAGTTGGCTCGGGGAACAGAGGGGCAGGCAGGTTTGGGCCCCTGTGACGAGCGCTTTCGGGGTCCCCCGGGATCTGTGGGTCGTGGCATCTTTCTGGGGTTAGCGGGACAGCAGAGGGCACTGACTTTGTCATGGGTGGAGGCGGGCAGGGCTTAGACCAGGGCCGGGCAGGAGGGAGGCTGTGGGGCGGCCGCCCGCCTCTCATAGGCGGCCGCATCGCTGCAGCTTTGCAGACAGATGTTCTCCACTTCCCCAAATCACGACAAGCTGAAGGTAACGCAACACATTTTAATACTGACCCTGCAGCTGTGAAAAAGCCCTCTCTGCCTCTTGAGAAACCTGTATGCAGGTCAGGAAGCAACAATTAGAACTGGACAAGGAACAACAGACTGGTTCCAAATAGGAAAAGGAGTACGTCAAGGCTGTATATTGTCATCATGCTTATTTAACTTATATGCAGAGTACATCATGAGAAACACTGGGCTAGATGAAGCATAAGCTGGAATCAAGATTGCCGGGAGAAATATCAATAACCTCAGATATGCAGATGACACCACCCTTATGGCAAAAAGTAAAGAGGAACTAAAAAGCCCCTTGATGAAAGTGAAAGAGGAGAGTGAACAAGTTGGCTTAAAGCTTCACATTCAGAAAACTAAGATCATGGCATCTAGTCCCATCACCTCATGGGAAATAGACGGGAGACAGTGGAAACAGTGTCAGACTTTATTTTTTTGGGCTCCAAAATCACTGCAGATGGTGACTGCAGCCATGAAATTAAAAGACGCTTACTCCTTGGAAGGAAAGTTATGACCAACCTAGATAGCATATTAAAAAGCAGAGACATTACTTTGCCAACAAAGGTCCGTCTGGTCAAGGCTATGGTTTTTCCAGCGGTCATGTATGGATGTGAGAGTTGGACTGTGAAGAAAGCTGAGTGCCGAAGAATTGATGCATTTGAACTGTGGTGTTGGAGAAGACTCTTGAGAGTCCCTTGGACTGCAAGGAGATCCAACCAGTCCATCCTAAAGGAGATCAGTCCGGAGTGTTCATTGGAAGGACTGATGCTGAAGCTGAAACTCCAGTACTTTGGCCACCTCATGCGAAGAGTTGACTCACTGGAAAAGACCCTGATGCTGGGAGGGATTGGGGGCGGAGGAGAAGAGGACGACCAAGGATGAGATAGTTGGACGGCATCACTGACTCGATGGGCATGAGTTTGAGTAAACTCCGGGAGTTTGTGATGGACAGGGAGGCCTGGCATGCTGCGATTCATGGGGGCGCAGAGAGTCGGACACGACTGAGCGACTGAACTGACTGACTGAACTGGAGGAGTAAGCGCAGGAACGCGTGGCCAAAGGTCCTTCCAGGAGCTGACCCCAGGCAGCGGGGCCCGCCCGGGTTTGCAGTGCAGCTGCCGTGGGCTCTGGCCACGTCCTGTGCCACGGCACAGCACATCCGAGCCGCCTCCTCTCCCTCTGCTCCTCATGATCCGTCCCCCTAAGGGGAAAGGAGAGCCGTTCACCCTGAGCTCCTCGGAGGCAGCCACGTCCCTGCGGGGCCCAGGTGAGGCTGGGACTCCCGCCTCCACGCAGCCCCACCTTCCACCGGCCACGCACACTCCCCTCCCTGAGCGCAGACGAGCCAGGACACCCACCCCCAGCTCCACTGACCTCTGTAGACGCTGCCCTCCAGACACACCATGTCAGTGGTGCCTGAACGCTTTTGTCTGGAGTGTCCGGGACCTTTACCTGGGCTACACAACATGACAGGAGTCTCACATCACACTGCAACAAATGTGGTTGTTCCCCAAACAGTGAACGGAGAATTTATTGCTTCCTTTAACCTGTAGCTGTCTGCAATTTTAGTTCCAAAGATCTCTACTCTCTGTCAAAGCAGGCTGGGACCCAGGTGTCACAATAGTTTGCTTATCGACAGGGCGGATGCAGGCGTTCTCCCCAGGAGCCGGTGGGTAGGGCCCGCCAAGGCCCGGCCAGCGCTCACACCTTGGTCTCACCAGGAGGCCGCCACTGCTCAGGAGCTGGCCCCCGAGAGCGTGGAGCTCAGCGCAGCTCCTCCTGCAGGCAGGTGCCCCGACTCCCTCGGTGCCCACAGACCCCGCGGGGCTCCACACATCTTCCTGGCAGTTCAGACAAAGCCTTCTTCCCTTCCTTTCCCCAGTTCCTCTCCTGAGATTCTCCCAACGAGGCGCGGGAGACTCTATGAGACCGAAGGAAGCGCGGACACTGCTTCTGAGGCCATGGGCCTCCCGGATGCCCTAGGCCCTGCTCTCCCGGAGGACCCCAGGTGGGCCCCTAGGCACCCCACAAGGGTGCTGTGTCCCCTCTCTCCTCAGACACTGATGCACAGGCTGCAGGGAAGTCCTGGACCAAAGCCCTGACGTCACCAGCCAGAGGTGTGGGTGACCCGGGGCCCACGGCAGCTCCGCATGTGTGTGTGTGTGTGTGTGTGTGTGTGTGAGTGTGTGTGTGAGTGAGTGTGTGTGTGTGAGAGCTCCCGGGGCTGCAACACCCCTCCATCCCCACAGCCATCCCCTCCCACCCAGCCTGCCCCCGCACAACAGGGGTTGGGAAGCCCAGTCCTCCGGGTCCGATCACATCAGCGTTGGGATAAGCTGCCCTGGATGCTATGCTCAGGGCTGGGGCAGGTGGCCGTGACCCTCGGGGTGTGGAGATTCCAGCGCCCCTCACTACTAAGAGTTTTCCTGCAGTCCGCCCCTGCCCCCGGCACATCCCATCGCACCGCCTCCCCCTCCCCCCCCCCCCCCCCCCCCCCGGAGTCCCCACTGCCCCGGGCACCCGCAGCACCCCAGCTGCTGGCAGGCCCGGGCGTCAGCGGGGCCCTGAGGCAGCTGACGGGCTCCAGCGGATGGGAGACCCGAGGCCCAGGGTGGGGCATGAGCCAGGGACTGGAGGGGCTGGTCCCTCCAGCATAGGCTGTGAGTGTGCAGCTGAAAGGCCCACGTGTGAGGCGTGTTGTGCAAACCTCCTGGCGGGCTCAGTACAGTGTCTCCTGCCAGGCACGAAAATACTCTCGGAAATGGACCTCATAAAACAGGTTTGTTTCCAAATGCTGCTCCCCCACAGCAGAGATTTGTAGCTGCTGTTTAGCATCCAATTCTCCCTTCATCCCCAGGAACAGAACCGGATTCAGCTAGAGCAAGAGCAGCCGGCTGCAGGGCCACACCTCCCAGCCGCCCCTGCAACGAGGCGTTGCTGTGGGCCAAGTCCTGGCCAATGGGGTACACACAGGGAGCGAAACAGAGTAAAGAGAGTGGGGTGCTTTGGTTCTCTGGCCTCCTTGCTGGAATGCACATGTGATGGCTGGTTCTCCAGCATCTTGTCCACTGGGCGAGGAGGCTGGAAGAAAAAGGCCATGCACCAGTGCGGTGAAGCACAAATAGGTCATGTAAGTCCCTGGGCCCCCACCGTGGAGCAGCCCTGGGCAGCCTGCCTTCCACCTTTTACATGAGAGAGAAACACAGTCTTATTTAAACCACTCTAATGAGGCCAAAGTACCAGGCTAACTGAATTTGAAAAATGAGTGCAAATACATGTGTCATGGCCTGCAAAGTGAAAATTTCATGAGTCAGTGAGAATGTTCTGGGAAATGGGCAACACGAAGGCCTTTCTTTCCTTCTCGTGTGCTTTCCTGGCAGAGGCCTCTCAGGGCTGCGGGCGCTCCCCTTCACGGCACTGGCTGATCATCCACAGCTTTGCTCGGAGACACTTTTGTTCTTAAGGCCAAATGCAGCTATGATGCTCACCTGAGTGGCTGGGGTGCTCGCAGGCAGGACAGAAAGCAACTGGAAACAACTGGGCTGCACCGGGTCCTAAGCCTCTCCAGGCCCTAAGCCTCCCCCGGGACCAGGCCTCCCCAGGTCTTAAGTCTCACCAGTGGCCAGGCCTCACTGGGTCCTAAGCCTCCCCAGGTCCT